GGACTCGATGACCAATTAGTGCTTACTGAACCGTAGCACTATGCAAATGTAATGTGGCGTGATTCCCGGCCGACCAATTAGCCATCACCAGCTGTAACGTTATGCAAATCTGTGATTCCCAACCATAGTCTTATGCAAATCATGCCGTGTGGCGTAATTGTCTGCTGACCAATCAGTGGCTGTACTTTCAAAAAGCCAACGGCCACTTTCAACCATCTGTCGATGACCGTTACGACTAAAAAAAACTTGGCTAGGTCTTACTTCCAGTGGGAGGTCTTATATTTCGCAATTCAGCAAAATCTGTGCTAGGTCTTATTTTCTGCGGATGTCTTATTTTCGGGGAAACACGGTATATGTCTATATTTCAAAGGAATCAAGTTTCTTTCAAGAAGTGGCATCTATGGTCCAGGTTTCCAAGGCATAAGTGGCAATTGGAAAAATAAGCATTCTTATGAGTTTTAGTTTATTAAAAATAGTGATTACAGAATCTTTCCAAATTCTAAATAATTTGGAGATTGCATTGCAAGCAAGGCAAATTCTGCATTTAATTTCATTATTGCATCCTCCTTTCTTTGTAAGAAGTGATTCAAGGTAAACAAATTCATTCACCATCTTATAGCCTCAATTTCCTTAGTCTGTGTCAAGGAACGATCAATTATCATAACTTTTATTTTACTTCCATTAATCAGCAATCAATATTCCCTGCTCTCAGTTTCAGATGTTTCATAATATATTCAAGTTCTGATTCATTGAATGCTATAATAAGTGTATCGTCAGTGTATCTCAGGTTGTTAACTTTACGGCACCTAATGGAAATATTTTTAGATTTTTTGTAACTATTATTTAGATTTTTTAGCACAGATTTCCCCAAAAATAGTCCTTTTTTTAAAATAGTCATTACTTTCAGAAAGCAAATTAACTGTAAACTTCTAGTCAGTTGGTGACAAACAGCAATATTAAATTGACACTGCTTTTTTCCAATACAATAAAACTACAAACTTAATAAAGAAAAAAAATTGATACGCTAGAACTTGTTACCAAGAATCCAAGTCTGCAATTTGCAGTATTAATTATGTTTTAGTTAGTTTTGCAGTTTATAATATTATAGTACTTTACCTAGTAAATTGTTTAAATTTAAAGATTTATTTTGTGTTTAAACATGTTTCTGTTTTAAATTTTACTAAATTTTGTAAAGTGACTTCTGTTTTACTACTTATTTTACTATGAATATTTTATTACAATTTGCTGCTATTAAAAATAGTCTGGTAGAATATTCTGTCTTGAAAGGTAATTGAAAAAGATATTATAAATACTTTTTATTCATTATCAAAATCAGGAGGAGGAGAATATTCTACCAGACCTTGTGTTTTATTCTCAATATTCAGCATTATCTAAGCAACGTCAGATTTTTTTTCAGTAGTTTGTCATATCAAATCATAAGTACAAAATTGTGATAATATGCTTATGGCTGACAGAGAATGTTCATGGAATGTCCATGAAAGAGAACTGTTAATACTACAGAAATGACTATTTTTGCATAACTTATGTTTGGATCAGGATGATATTTGGTATGTGTCATTAGAAGATGATGATAAGTTACGTAAAATTTTGTCCATCTACTCTAAATAATTCAAAAGATTGTTTTTAAAAATTATACTGGCATATAATTCTGCTCTGCACCGTATTCTTAGTATACCTAAGTTTCATTCATCAAGGAAACAGCATTGTTTACATGCCCAATTCAAAAATTTTAATTAATGTTCATAAAAAAACTAGTTTTTTGTTTGTATAAATGCATTTAAAGAAGCATTGCATAATTAGCCAAGAAAATTTATGAAGAATGATCAACATTGATCTTTCAGTTTTTACAAAAATTTTAAAGAATTGACTAACTTTATTAAAGGAATTATTAAAACACTTACATTTAAAATAAATAGTAAACAGTTATTAAAGTTAAATTTAAATATATTATATTTTTGTATTTAATTTTTAATATAATTTGTTATAGGATGCTTACATACAAAGCCGAACTGACACTATGCAAAATATAGAGGCAACAATAGTTGAACTTGGAACTATATTTCAGCAACTTGCTCATATGGTAAAAGAACAAGAAGAAATGGTTACCAGGTAATTATTATGTTGATATTTAAAGTTAGTTTTAAACTTAATATTTTACTTTATTAAAAAATTATAATGTAATGTTCAAATATAGTTTACAAATTAAGACACCAAAAACTTATTAAAATCATTTTGGTTAGATTTTTTGAAAGAACAGATCATTGGTGATTTTTATTTTCATAAAAATACCTTCTATACCTTTCATTAGTGGGATTTGACTAGATGATAATCTAAAGGGAAAAAAGTAGTGTGTATTCTAAATTAAAATAAATGATTTTTCAAGGTATGTTGTTAATATGAACAATAAGAATTTTTTTTAAAATAATGTTTCACTGTGTTAGGTCATCTCCTTTTAAATCTTATTGCTGATTGTTGTATTAAAAATAAATATATATACATATGATTTAACTACTTACTGATTGATATAAAATTTTTATTAATTTGTCTTGAATGAAAGAATATAAGGGAAAAAAGTTTTATTTCAATAATTTAATAAAAACTTACTTACAAAAGACCGATTGATGAGAGCCAGATGAAGATCTAAAATGGCTAAAGTATTTAATAGTTAAAGTTTAAAGATTCTAAAGTGAAGGTCTCTTGGAAGGTCTTACTAACTGTAATATTTGAAAACTTTAATTTAAAAGATATTGTACCACTATAAAAAAATTATCTTATTAATTTTCTGTTATGATGTATTTAAAAACTTAGTAATAATTTTAAACAAATCTAATTGAAAGAGGTTGATAAATTTATGTTCACCGTACAATAAGTGGGATATTAATGATCGGACTAATGATAATATTCTGTATTCCTTTATACCTTCTAATCCTCCTGGAAGTTTAATAAACATTTGTTAGATTCGGACCTTACAGTAATTGAATAATTAAAGAATTTAATTTCAGAGTAAAGGCTAATAGTTAAACTTAAAATTGCTTTATTTCAATTTTTTTTATAATTATTATCAGAAATCTTGTTTTACCTCCTTTGCAATTGAAAATATCAAATTCTGAAAATAGATACTGAAAAGCTTGATAATTAAGATTTTCAGTTAGATTCTTTCCAAAAACTGTTAACTTTTAACATAGCATGAAAATAGTTATGGTTATGATCATTTAGTTTTTAGTCTTCCATATCTGCTAATATGTAACTTTTTATTTTACACATTTTCATCATAAAATATTTCATGTAATATAATAAATTATATTGAGATTCTTATAATTATGATTGTTAAAAAAATTTTATAGGTAAGATGATCATTTATAAGGAATACGATAAAATTTTATGTTCTGAAATAAGTTTAAAACACTATTTAACATATTATTATATATTTACAGTATAATAATATATATGATATTAAAATAGTTTTTTAATAATATATGTTAACATTAACGGTGTAAAAACAAAAAAGCTTTACAATCCAGCATTTAATTTTGAGTAGACAGATGTTTTTGGGTAGTTTAACTAGCCATTGAGTTCAAATTATAATGCATGCAACTACAGAATTCTAGAACATTAGTTCAAATGGGTTGTAAAGTTTTTTTGGTTTTTATATTAACTTTATCCAGTTTGATAAATTATTATTATTATTATTATTAATTACACTATTTTTATACACAGAATTGATCATAATGTTGAAGATACACATTTAAACGTGGAAGCTGCCCATACAGAGATACTAAAATATTTCCAGTCGGTGACATCTAATCGATGGCTTATGATAAAGATCTTTGCTGTTTTAATAGTTTTCTTTATAATATTTGTAGTTTTCGTAGCATAGAAACTGTAAATTTCATAAACGGAAATTTGAATATTGTTCTGGTACATTAAATGATCCATCCACACTGATCGGATTTCATTTAAAAAGGGGCCTTGGAAAATAGTTGAAACACTTTGGATCATATTGAAAAATGAACAAACATTTTATTATTCATTGTTGACTTAAATTATAAACTGTTACTTTACATGTTTTTAAAATTTCTATGGAAAAGTAGAATTTGAAATCTCAAAATTATTGTTATAAGTAATTATTACTTCAGATTATATGAAGAAGGTATTATCAATAAATTTTAATATATTGAAAGATTTTTTACTTAGAAAAATTGTATTTACAATTAATTTATTTTTTCTCATTTAACATATTGTTTTTCTTGCATTTAAAGTTTAAATTTGACCAAAATTATTTATTAAAACATTTACTGACGAAAAACAATTTTATGCCTTAAGAAATATATATACCGGTATGTATAAAAAATAAAAACTGAAAGCTTTTGATACAAAGCTCGACATCTTTCCAGAGTATTAAATCTTTAAAATTTCCAGCAATTAAAATAAGTATGTAAATACCTATATACAATTAATGTAATTATAAATGGGATGTATGTACAGTACAATATATATATGTATTATGTACAGAAAATAATCAGTTTTTTTTCTTTCTTATATTTTCTATATTGTGGTCTTCCTTTATTTTTAAGATTAAAAGAAAAACTATCAGAAATAGCTTTAAAAATCTGTTGGATTGATTGTTTTGAAAATAAACCTTTCTAAATTTAAAGTATGTAAGTAAAAAATATTGAGAATGTATATAAAATATAATAATAATTATAGTATTATTATTGTTTTTATTTCATTACACGCATTTGTGACTACATTTATTCAAAATTATTAGAATTGCTCAGCTTATGTCATGCTTTTAAAGGGGTGTTTGGAAATGAATGTGTCACTTAAGAAAGCAATGCATTAACATAATTGTCTGATGCAAATCATGATAAAAATTGTCAGCCTGCTTGTTAGGACATGCATGTATCTATAGACATATCTACAGACAATATTGCTTTAGGTTGGAGAGGAAAGGTGTCAGCATGCATAGTAAAAGACTCTTGCTCTGCATATAAGCCAGTATTACAGAAACATTTCAGGAAGGGAGAGAATGAAGACTAGGTAATATTTGAAAATATTCGATGAACAACTATTTATCAGAATTGGACAGGTTCAAAAGACTTGGAAATTCAGACTATTGAAAGTCTACTGGTTGGCTTGCAAGCATAGGAAGTGCTGAAGTTGCACAGGCAGTGGATTGCATATTCAAAGGGACACAGACATCATTGAGAACAGTGGCTGCAAAACTTATTCTTGTGGTAAGCACCCTGTAGGACATAAGTGAAGAAGTTAGGCTCACTGCCCACAGAAAAGAACCAGCTGCAAAGTGCAATCAGAAGTAGAAGCATAGAGCAAAAACCAATTATCAAAAACATGTTCAGCTGTGTGCCAAAAGAAATTATTGGCACTAGGTGATGAGACATATTGTCCTGAAGACCCAAAACAAGTGCCTGAAATACAACTCTACTATTCCATTAACAATTCAGATGCATGACATGAAGTTAGTTTTATAGGAAGAGCCAAATTTTCAAAAAATACTTAATATGGCAGACAATTGATGAATGTGGATATGTCTGAACCTTTCATTTCTTGTGTATCTATCAACGCTGATATATACCTCAAAGAGTGTATTTAAAAAGTTTGATTCCCTTCATCCAAAAATGCCATAATACAGATGATGTGGTGTTCTGGCCAGATCTAGCAATGGTCCATTATGCCTGCAAAGTTTCTGACTGCCTTCAAAGGATGACTTGAGTTTATGAAAAATTAAAACAATGTACTGTACCCCAGACCCATCCCATTAAAAGATTCTGGGCACTATGTGAACAGCAATGTGCCTCTTGTTTTGGTGTGAATTGTATTCAAACAGATTTAAAGTAATATTGCTCAAAAAGTTGGGAAGAAGTCTAGCATAGAATTCATGGCAGGAGTTTGAGCACAATTGAGATGTATAGGATGGCATGGTATCTATAGACCATTACTTTGCAAAAAGTGAATCGGAACTATCTGGATTATTTTACTAAAACAATGTCATGGGATACCATGACATTGTTTTAGTAAAATAGCATCAATTAAAAGTGACTTTTTCATTTTCAAACATCCCTTAAATAGGCTCACAAGTCATCAAAATTTTACTTTTCATTTCACATTTTGACAAGAAATTGAATTCTCATTAAAATTAATTTAATGAAACTTAATAAATTAAAAAGTTACAAATATGAAAATCAACATTCAGAGAAGTCGGAAAAGTTTAAAAATTTTTCTTCCTTTATGAAATATAGGAACAAATTATTTCATGCACAACATGATGATATGTGCCACATATCTTGTTAAATTGAGATGTCAAAGCATACTTTTGCCTACCAGTGACCAAGTGAAATAAAAACCACTGAACACTGATAGTTGGTCGTGGGTTCATACCTTGCCAATGGGCTAGCCACATGGAGTTGTCCAGGTTTTCTTTGTGTTTGTAACACCTAGTTTCCCATAAATCCTCCCAGGAGATATCTCCACTCGGCAGATCACTCGTTCCAGCTAATTAAACTGAAGCACACTTTCATACAATAGCTGGGGTGCTCATCTGTGGCCGAGTGGATAAAACCAGTTGAGTACTAGTAATTGGTTGCAAGTTTGCACCTTACCAATTGGCTGACCACATGGAATTTTCAAACTTTTTTCACTTGTCTAACACCTAAATAGGGTCTAGTTTCCCCATAGAAAATTTTCCTGGGAGATGAAAATCCAAGGGGATGAGAAAGCATCCACCTTTTTGACAGATCGTCTAAGTGGGGCATTGTCTTATTCCATTGATTTGGTAGTTAGGCAACAGCCTATCTCTGGGGTGGGGGCTTGGAATTGAATCCCGGTGAGAAACTTCCAGGAATTTTTATCTAAAGTCTGTTTTGGATTTGTTGGCTCTCATCCCTTGTCATCCAGCTGTTACAGTACAATTTACACATGGCCAAACCCTTGATGGGTGTGAATAAAAGCCCTGTTAGTACCTACAAAGCAGAGTTAAAAAAAGAAAACGTGCATACTTCAACATTACAGAATAAACATTGTTAATCAAGTAAGCATACTTTTGTTATTGAGTACGGTAATAATTCTTGGGACATAAAAATGTTGGTTATAATGAATATTTAATTTGTAATATAAATATGTAATTTCTTCAACAGTTTGTATAATTGCCAATATAAATTAAATTTTCGATTATCCAGGACCAGTTTAACATATGCTTTTTCATATTAATGTCCATTTTATGATAGTGAATTAATCTCTCGAGAATTCGATCATACAGAAATTTGTGCTCGTTCTGGATAATCGAGGGCTTGCTAGCACATTATTACTAATAGGCCTACTACTATTGTCATATAAACACACACGCGCTACCAATTTTTTCGAGTTTACTGTTAATTTGAAGTAAGAATAAGTCGAGAAAAAGTTGATTTTTTCCCCTTTTGTGTTTGACATTAGAATCACAATTTTAAAGAATTGAAGAAGGAAAAGGTAAATGCGTGATACATTAAAAAAAAAAAAAAAATTGTAATTAGACGTGGAATTTCCGAAGAGAAATAATTGGTTTAGGTTTACGAGTGACGTAATTTAAAGCAGGAAGTTAAAGTATACTATATTGCACTTTATTCTGGCAAGCGAAAGTTTCTTAACGTAAATATCATAGAAATAACAAATAGAAAATGAAAGTAATTCACGAAACAGATCTCAGATGTCTGTCTTCCTTTTCAACATAAAATTAATAGGAGTTCAACCTCTCCACAAGAAATGTTTCATTGTGGTGATATTGCAACCAAAGATCGAGAGTTTACGTTTAGAAGTTACATAATCAATAAGTGTTCACTTATTACGATAAAAGTGAAATAAACTAATTGATTAATTTACTTCTAACTATTCAGTGGCGCGTTATAGCTTTATGGTACCCAGACAAAATTGGGGCCCCCCATGCACAGTGTTAACTTCAGGCATACTTTTTCAGGGAAATTTAGATGAATAGTTTATGAAAGATTGGTTTGGATACCTCCAAACCAATTGCCCGTTTTGCCCATAAAATTACGCACCACTAACTATTGATCCTTGATTGTGAATAAGGCCATTAGATCCGGATTCGAATCTCTTAATTTGTTTTATTGTCAAAGCAAATATGATTTCGTTATTCTGGAATTTTTCGGATGTGGTCAGTCGTACTCCATCTCCCATCACCCGGCCGCTATTGTGGGCCTCTCTCAACTCCGCAACGGGCTTGATAAAAGGACCTCTGTATTCAGAGTAGAAAGTCAAAATGAGAAAGAAAGACAACGTTTAATAATCAAAATTTCTGGCCTGTTGTTGTCAAATCAAATCAAATTTTATTAATTATCATCAAATATTTTAATAAAGCATGATATATTTAGCAAAATAAAAATCCGAAGAAAATTATTATCATTATTATTTTTGATTTTTGCAACGAATTCTTCATTTTAAATTGGAAAATGTTTGGAAATCTTTCTCGGAATAAGTTTATATATATAAGGAAGTTTTTTTTTTTTTGTAAAATAACATTGCATTTCCTTATTATGAATCGCACAGGTAAATGTATTATGTCATTTTACAGAAATTGCTGTTTTCACCTCTCTGATGTAATCACGGATTATTAATTATAATTCCCCCTCCCAAAATTTCATTTTTCACTAAAAATTATTCAGCAAAATCATCAAAACTCTTTAAGTTTCGGTTATAAATGCCAATTATTAAATTTAATATATCGCATTTTACAGCAAAAAATTGTTATTTTGGACACGTAAGTTAATTGACACGCTTTCATGCGTTGAATGTTCCTACCGAGATTAATTAAACATTTAAAATGTTTTTCGCGTGTCAGCAGTGAGATATAAATATTTCACATTCAGCATTTGGTAGAGCAGAAATTTGAATAAATAAAATTTTTTATGAAAAATTATGATATTAAAAGAAAAACTGCTTTCAAGAAGGACAACAATCATCTAGATACGGTTAAATTTGACAAAGTAAAGTGGCGGCCTGTTGAAGACATCATAATTAGCGCGCTATAAATATATCTGAATCATATCATTTTGATTAGTGATTTGCTTTTTGTCCTTATATTACTATAATTGAATATGTGTTGGCTCTATAAAGGACTCATCACGCAGCCGGAGAAATCACACAGAAACTATGAACACGGGTTATTTATTATGACGTGATTTCCTGTTTTATTTATTCCTATGTGATTTCTTAGACTGCGTCAATAATGCGGCACAATTCAAGTTCCGAATGAGGGATTAGCTACCCCCCCAAATTGTAGACACCCTGTGGGAACAAAAAAGTCAAAGGAACCATACCCTCTACGCGCGACCCTTCACGAGATATAGCCCTGTAAAGAATCGCATACGTCATTCCGGTCACGTGATACAGCGCCCAAAAGGGAGCCCGGAACATTGCGGCCCTCCATACAGCCAAACTCAGCGCTCACATATTCAATTTTGCTGTGAAAGCTAACACCGTATAGATAAAACAAGAATACAATCTTGGATTGTATTATTTAGTCTAGCTTACAACTATTAATAATCGACGGCTGGATAACCAAGCAGTCAAGGTGGCAACCTACCGCTCTGGGAGATCCGGGATCGAAACCGGACGGGCCGAAAAATCCCGAGGAATTTTTCGGGTTTGGTCCGTCCGTCACCACCCAACCACCCCATTGAGGGCATGACCGAACCCGTAACGGGCTTGCTAAAAGACGCCCTCCTAGTCCCCACAGGGCGGAAAGAGTTACTCCCCCCCAAAAAATGGAAACTATCTGGCAGCATTATTATTTCCATTTATTTAAAATGTTTACTAGCTATCATACGATTAATATTATTTCAGAATAGTTAGTTAAAATTTTATGTAAATGGGAATAATTTTAATTTTAATGCACTCCTTTTAAATCACGAACATTTCTGCTTCCGGTATCTGTTCCTTTTATAAAACTGGCAACATTAATTTTAATAAAAATTTTAAAAAATCGAAATATGTAATACATTGAATAATATTAACTTTACGTGCACACATTTTATTTATATACTTTCGCTTCGTTACATCCTGTTCAGTATCCTGTATTATATCACCGACATATACGCCGCGTATATATATAGCGCGCGGGAAGATGTTAATTAATCAGCCAGTAGGATTGTTGTTGGTGCGTCGTTTGAACAGGGGGATTTATCAGACGAATTGGAAGTGTTTGCGAAATTTATCAACCATGCCGCTGAAGGTAATTTAATCGCTAACTAACAGAATAATTATTATACAGTTTAAGGTTTAAATATTGATAAATTGTAAAAACAGGGAAAGAATATCGATAAAATTATCTTAAGAATTAGATTGACCTTCTCAATGACACTTATTCGCTATTATATTATATACTCGGTGGGTGGAAAGTAACTAGGCAATGAGAATTAGCTGTAATTTTTATAATAATAATGCAATTGTAATAAAATTTGTGTGCGCGTGTACACTAATGAATGGAATTTTATAATTCCATTCATTAGTGTGGTGTGGCAGTGGCCGAAAGAGGCCGCACGCGCGTGGCAAAAAGAGAAAGATGGCCGACCGCCTCTCCGTTCAGGAGCGAGCGCAGATTGCTGCACGCTACGAGGTGTGGAAGTCTGTGGTTGCCGTGCAGAGGTGGTGGCGTACGGTTAAGGGACGACACGCCAAAATCCGTCCGGAAACAATCAAGAATTGTCATTCCAAGCTGATGACCAAAGGTTCTGTTGCGGACGCGCATAGAAGTGGACGTCCATCTACGTCACGATGCGAGGAAAACGTAGCGTTGGTGAGGAAATTGTTCACCCGCAACCCGCATAAATCGACGCGCGAGGCCGCTCGAGAAAGCGGATTGTCGAGGCACACTATACGTACGGTGTTAAAGAAAGAATTGAATTATCGCCCGCGGAAATGTCATCATGCGCGGGAGGAGACACTCGAAGTCTGTGATGTCGGAACGGAATGCGAGGAGGAGGAGGAGGTGATGGGATGCCACGAGTCTGCATCAAATTTTAAGGTATGCGTCCGTATTTTCATTTAATAAGGTACGTGTCAAGTAATTTTCGTCGTCTCTGCATTAGAAATATAGAAATTGTAGGTATTTGTCAATGCCTAGTTTCTTTCCACCCACGATGTATATACAAGGTAGCCCAAAACTTGACATTTTCCAGCTGGCTGCAGCAAAAAATATTCGTCAGAAAGCCATGAATATTTTGGAATGCCTTAATGAGATGATGGAAATTTTTCTAGATCAAAACATTAGTTCCAAAAATTGCCACTAGACTGCATTTTTCAAGTTGAAATAGTGGCATTTTGGCCTGCAAGATTTCCAGACTCGAATCTATGCGATTTTTGGCTTTGGTGCTATCTAAGAGACTTAGTCTACTATGATTTCCTAATATCACTGTCAAACCTTAAGGACAGCATAGCATGCCATATGCATAATATTCCAAGGCATGCACTGCATGCAACTGTTGAACATGCTGTTTTATGCTTTCAGATGGTAGCAGACAATAATGTTTTGTTCACATTAGACAGATAACTCGTGTAATGCATTGTTATGTTCTGTATAAAGCTATAATATGCTTTCTAGTGGTGGTTTTTAGAACTAACTTTTTTTACTCTAAAAAATTTTCATTATTTCGTTAAGTCATTCCCAAACTTTTATGACTTTCTGATGAATAGTTTTTGGGTGTAAACATATATATATATAGGGTAGTGGCACCTATTGTCGACCATGTAAGCCAAAATCCCTGTGTATTTAGTCTATCGGAGCATGTTTAGGCAAGCCATCTTTACAGGAAGCATCATAAGGCAATCCCTTTCTCAATGACATGTAAGAATAATATACTGCATTGCTCATGGTGATGGGAAAAATTAGTGCGCCACACACCTTCTGCTAGTCGACCACATAGTGAGGCATTGTCGGATCTTTAGAAGATAACGAGGGGTCTGTTTCTTGCTTATCCTTTCACAGTTGTTACGTTTGTGAGGTTGTCGACCACCATAAATGATTGTGCGATTTGCTGGTCAATTATTGGTGAACAGACTGTAATTAAATTATTTTCTCATAATGTAAACCAATGTTTCTCAACCTCTAATGAATCATCGCCCCCTTCAATAAAACTGTTACGCCCCCTTCACTTCGAAAACAATTTTGTTGGGTTTATTAGTTTAATTTTTTACAAAGTATATAATTATCAAATAAACATTTATTTACTCAGAATACATATTAGATTTTGATATAATTAACAAAATTAAAATTAAGCATTATTCACTGTGAATCGCCGCTGCAAGCATTAAAATTCTGATGCCGAGGGCAGAGGCTAACGTCACTAGTATAATGTTATTTGTTTAATTATTGTATGATATAACAAATAAAATGTCTAATTATTCTTAATATAATGTTTTACTATATCACCCGGAAAATTGTTTTTTGCCCCCCAAAATATAAATTGTCAATAATCACTCCCCAATATGGAAAAATGCCCACATGGGGGTGATATTGCCCCCATTGAGAAACACTGATGTAAACAAAGGTCTAATAAAATGTTTTGTTTTTTTCCCACGACAAATAGTATAAAACAAACTTTATTTTCATATAAGAATTTTGCTTTTTGTGTTGTTACACATTGCAATAAAAAATATCAAAGTGCAAAACATCATTAAACAGTCAACTGCTGGTGCCATTACCTTATATATATAATATTATTATTACGTGATTTTATATTATTTAGAAAGTTCATAACGACAATATTCTCTTCATATCTGTGTGAGCTACTGTTATTTCTTTAACTGAGAAAATTTAGATGATGTTACTTTAAACCACTTAGGTCATTTATTTATATATATATGAGCTATCAGTGCAAAATGATCCAAGTCTTAAGTTTGGTGATGAGCCTACCATCACATCTGTGATTGGTCTGTAGTCGGGATGGAGCTTATTGAATTCTCTGCCCATTTCTCAGTGTCTGTGGCATCACTGAATTCATTCTGCTGTAGTCCGTGACTTAATGAAAGAAATGGTAATACAATAAACTCCTATGGGTCCAGACTTATGGGATATTCTACATACTCAATGATTTTATATTCTAAACTTGATAAGTAATGCAGATTATTTTATAGCAAACATAATTAAGAAATGAAAATTTTTATAGTCACTTATTTCATTTCGTATGATTCAAGCATTACCTGAGAAAACATTTAGTAGTTTTTAATATTTTAAAGAATGTTATAACATTCATACAAATGTATATAAATATAGCACAAATGTATCTCATAGACTGATAGATAAGATAGATAATCAATATATATTGATTATCTATCTAAATGACATTTACTATATGCAGCAAGATGGATAAAGTATGTCTTCAGCTATATATAATAATTCATTTATAAATTAAGGTTATATTTCTGTATATATTAATAGTTTAGTTCATCTACAAGTTGATTTTGGAGATGTAAATAATAATAAAATAAAAAATGTTAGATTTCATTGGGCTACAATTTGAAAAAATTGTAGACCTATAAATTTCCACCTATAAACTGAGTGGCTAAGTGCAAATGTCAATTAGCTTGACGAGGACCATTCGACACAGATGAAAATGTTTGCTTTCGTGTAGTCTTGTATTTTCTTGCCGTATATTGGTTATATCGTAGTGCTTATTTACATATACCTAGTTTGAGTAGTTGAATTCTAAATCAAAATTGAGCATGTAAAATTAATTTTTAAACGTAAAAAGAATTACTTTCTTTATTAATTACGGTGTTTTTCTTTATTAATTACAGTATTAAGTTGTTAGTTCTAAGCATTTATTGATTAAAGAAAATAGGCAACTAACACATGTTTGTTGAAGATAATAAAATCTTACTGATCTTGTACAATCGTCTAGAAGTATTACTTAACGNTTTAAACATTTTGATGTAACAACATATGTATGCAATTGAAAAATTTATATTTAATAATTTTCAGTAAACAATGGTGATAGTACATGTCATTCATCATTATTATGTAATAGAAACAGTTCTTGCAAAAACATATTAATATTTTAGTTTTTTTGATTTGAGATTTTTGTATAAAATATTCAAAATGTATGTATTACTATGAAGATAATGTCCAGTGACAGTAAATATTTCTATTATTAAGATTTAATCCAGTGTTTTCTTAATCTTTCTAATAGTGGTACCCCACTATTAGAAAGATTAAGATTATTAGACGCACCGGTAACAGGTTAGAAAGAGTTAATTATACATGTAAAAAGCATTATGGTGCCTCTTATAACTAAATTTTATGGCACTTGAGTGTGCCACATCACTCTGGTTGAAAATCATTGATTTAATCTAAAATAGGGTAGACGAGATGCTTGAGTTAAAATTTATTTGAATCAATATCATTAAAATTTTACATGAAAAAAATTATTTTATAACATACATAATATAATTTTCATGTAGTATTTGATTTTTTTCGAACATTAAATTCTATTATTATTTTTTAATTAAAATATTTTTTGTTAATAAAATTCTGGATTTAGGTTGGTGATTCACTTCCTTCTATTGATCTAATGGAAAATACTCCAGATTCAAAGGTGAATATTGCAGAATTATTTAAAAATAAAAAAGGAATTTTATTTGCTGTGCCTGGTGCCTTCACTCCTGGATGTTCAAAGGTATTGTATTTAATATTATATTCAAAAGATTTATAAAACAAAATATTTAAAAAGCAATCTTAAATAATAAGGCAGATTAAGATCAGTAACTGAAGTTTAACTTAACTTACTGATACAATAAACAATAATAATTGTTTATTGTATCATTATGTATTATTCAATAATTTTAAGTTTTTTCAGTTATTCATTCTGAGTTGTAATCTTTAAATAAATTATACATTTTGAAATACCTCACATTCATTGCAACTTCATAAAAAGTTTCTTTGCTCTTTTCTACAATTTTTTTTTTCTTTTTTACTGGCTGTGGACTATCAGATGTGCATGATGATAATAAAATTCTTTCATTAAACATTTCATTATCATGCATTGTACTATCATGGAATCTACTATATTACAATTATTGATGGAGCTATTTCTAGTGTTATCTATTTCTTCTGCCTCAAATATGCAGATGAAAGTGGACTGCTGTGAATCATTTAACTATAAATAAAAATATATTTAATTTATATTTACTTCAATATGTATATAACATATATGTGACAATAGCAGTGACTTTGTTCTATTGTAAGAATTCAATAGAAAACTAAATGAAGACCAATGTTCCTACATTGGCTTATAAATGTCATTTTCTCCACATCCACTTTGCCTGTGATCTTCTATGTTTATTTTTAATGCAAAGAAGTCTGGTTTGCAAATGGTTATTTTTACTTGGTTCTTTAACTATATTTAAAATAATATTGTTGTTACAAAACTAAAAACAATCAACATTTTATATCCAGAAATCTAAAAATGATACAATCAATGCAAAGACTTTTGCTTATCTCATGCCATGCCTGTGCTATATTATGTTTTCTTCAATAAAATGAAGAATTAAAATTCCACAGGCATTCATAAGCCTGAATAAGCTCAATCAGTCTTGATTCTGTAAAAGTTGCATCAGTTCTCTCACTTTCTGTCATGATGGTGAACTATTCTCAAAGTTGCCACCGCATGAATGACATAGCAGAAAGGTGTTTGCTGATCGGATGCATGTTTGCAATTGGCATGGATAGAACAAACTTTTCATTTCTAGTTGTGGTTGCAATCGTGCCAGTTTTTTGAGGGGTTTACTAGTTAATGGGAACAGCAGTTGCAGTTTCCTATGTGGTTGGAAATTGCAAGGTGTTACCATGCCAAAATGTGATCTCCAACCTACTTCAACTTAAATACAAAATGCATTGAGTCTATGGGAATTAAGTTGGACAAAAATAAAATTTTGAATTAAGGAAGTTCTTATTAAGAGTCTACTTTATTAATTCTAAAATTAAATAACTATTTTACTTGTAATATAGTTTGTAAGGTATTTTGTTTTTTTACTTTAGACACATCTGCCTGGTTATGTTCAAGATTATGATCAACTAAAACAGAAAGGAATAGATGTTATTGCTTGTGTTGCAGTTAATGATCCTTTTGTTATGGAAGCCTGGGGAAAAGATCAAAAGGCTGAAGGAAAGGTAATGTATAAAAATATTAATAAGGATCTTTTTAAACAATTTAAAGTATTAAAAATATTGACAAATTATGAGATACCAATATTGATTTTGGTTTATTTTATTTATATTCTTTGAAGATACATTTTCATAAATTTTTTTTCTTGTAGTTACTGAAATAAATTGTTTATATCTATTAATTTAAATGTAAAAATTTTGAGCTTTACAAGATTCATTCTTATAAAAGTAATGACTAGGTTCATTCTGCATTTTCTTCTTGTACAATGTCGACAGAAAAATAATTTTCATTGGAAGGCTTTATTTATTGAAAAATTGGAACCCTGTAATAAATCCATGTTGGAAATTTCAAGAGTTTGGCTATCACTCTTCAAAAGTGTGAACTTATGTCACCATGATGTTACTGGTTGCATTCAGCAGACTCATCAGTTTTGGAGCTGTTGAGTATTTTTCTGCCAAATGCCCTCTACAATAGTGCTATTTCAGACATATTTGGTGTTTTGATGTCACATTTAATAGCAGCTTTCACTTACAGTATGTATCGCTAGCTGCATCTGACCAATGCAAATATCACTGATTGTTCAGCAAATGTAACTATGTAACAGCTACTGATTGAAACACCTTTGCTCAGTTACAACTGACTCTGCTTCATTAATATCAATAAGTAAATATTTATTTTGTTGTTAGTAACAAAATAAATATTCCTGTTTTCTTCAGTACATCTGCTGCTGTTCATTTTTAGTGCTAATATCTTTCCATGCATGTGCCATTCTCATGCCTAAGTTTGTTTTAAATGTGACTTTGCACTTTTCAAAAATTTTATATTTATATTCCACTTTCAAAATAGTTAATGTTTGTATTTAAATTAATTCTAATATTTTTAAATTACATCCTCTTCTTTGCACGAAAATGACATACATAAAATGTCGAAAGTGTTTTCAATGTTATAACTAATAAAAATCATTCAATGCTGATATTACTATTTGAATTAAATTAACAAATAGGAGTGCAGGTTTTATCAAATTATTGAAGGAACAAAAAAATTATAGTGTAATTATAATAAGATTTTAGGGTTTTTTTCCAGTGTGAAATCTGAATCAGCAGACTTGTTTACAGAATGACAATTTTATACTTTAATAAGGGTGCTTTGTCCCTGGCTGCCAAAGATGGCTCCCCCTGTTTGCTTCACTTGCTTACCCCCTAGTCTTCACCAACTTGTTTGAAAATTTTGTGATGATTCATCAATGTCTGGTGTCGCCATTTCTACTTTTTTTTATTTTATTATTTCTTTTTTCCATCACAAAAAGAAAATTTGTGGTGGCAATTTTAAATTAAATATTTTACATACATATCTACTTATATAAGCCATTGATACCACTGTTTGTATATTTGTAATGTGTCTTGATATGCCTAGAATGTGCACTAAGGGTGTCCCTTGCAATGATTTTCAGCTATTATTTAAATTAATAGTATAATTTATTTATTAACTGTATATATTATTATTTATTTGTAATAGGAATTTATTATTTATATCACGGAATGACACTGCTACTACTAGAATGCCCACTAGGGGTGTCCTGGGCTACTAGTAGAGTAGATTATACTATAAAGTTACAATCAGAACTGTAATATAATTCTTTGAAGATATGTTTTATTTAACAACTAGCTGCAAGGACCCGTTTTGCTGGGTTTTTATTTGTTCGTACATTTGTATGTAATATAGTTTTTTTTATATATATAAAAGATTGTTTTTCTAAGTAATCTAGAATCTAGCTGCAAGGACCCGCTTCGCTGGGCAAAAAGTAACGATAGTGAAGATTAAGATAATTACATTATAGCCAATCTTACCCATTTTCACAGAATAAAAGAATTAGGTCCCCCATTTCCAGACAGAATGTCTCCTGTTCACGTCCAGTCAAACGAACTATTTTCAATTTGATCAATTTTCTGGAATGTTTACAATCGTTCTATAATCGAACCAATTCAAATTTGAATACAAATTCGAATTTAAAACGGTTCGAACATTTTTAAAATCGAAATAGAAAATCTTCCACTTTCAAGCCCATATCTCCTGCACCCTTATAGCTATCGAGACGCAACCACCATAGTGCACGAATGGAGACTTGGGGCTACTACCACATACAAACATCATTCATGTGCGATGTGTAGTTTTGGCTAAAAAGTGAAATATAGGGATACACATGTCCATTTTTATATATATATATAATTGAAATTCCCTATTTACATAAGGCTAATTTTAAACAAACATATGAGGGAGTACAAATATTTGTTCTATTTGATTTTTTTTTATAAGAAGAAATGGAAAACAAAACCAAAATAAAAATATTTAATACAACCAAGTATGGTGAAAAATACATTCAATGATTATGATTAAAGACAATTATTGAGAATCAAATTGAATGGAAAACATTTTGCAATAATATTTTGCTGATTACATTAATTGCAGATAATGAACAAGATCATGTGTGATTGGAGAAAACAATTGATTGTTAAAGGATAAGATGCCACATAACATAAATAAGAAAAAACTAGTGAAATATACCAAAGATACAATATAGCAGCTCCCTTTCTATCAGAAGAGAAAAGATTGACTTGAAGATCATAAGTCAATCTTTTCTCTTCTAATAGAAAGAGAGCTGCTATATTGTATATCAGATATTTGATCTGAGCAGCTTAGTAACATTTAACAAATGAGGAGAGGCAGGAAAAATCAAGAATATCTCAAAGTATACATGCAATCAGAAAAAACTTGCTACCTAACAAAGTGAAAACATGTTTTGCTAAAAGAACTATTCTTTAGTCTACAAGTTGAGGAAAAATTTACTAAGAAAAATGACAATTTTATTAAACTTTTCTGTAATTCCTACATGAAGTAAATGTTATAATTTTTTTTTGTGTTTAGATAAGAATGCTTGCAGATACCACAGCTGAATTTACAAAAGTGAGTATACCATTTTAGTATGTTTTATATAGAATTAATATCAAACTATTTGTTATAGAATATACTCAATTTTATTAGGTTTAATATATTTACTGTATTTACTTTCGTTGTTTATTTTCCAAACAAAAATAACTGAAAAACAAATTTAATTGGAAAAGTTGTAAAAGACTGAGTGTAATAAGTCGTAAATTGGTCAACTAGAACCAGAGTTTGCCAAGTGACATTTGTAATTTTTCTTGCTTAAATATGTCTTTTGGTTAAATAAAGCCATGTTGTTTTATGTTCCAAAGACTGCCAGATGATTTGGTTGTTGTAGCCACCAAATCTGTCATGTGATAAATAAGCATATTTTAGACATTTGAATTTACTTAGAACAAAAGTCTGCCATGTCACTTAGCTGCCTTTAGTCCTTGCAAGATGTGAGATGGTTTATGAAGTTCTATGTTCTCATGATGGTTCACAGTATTTATAACAAACAATATCCTTTATTCTATTATGATTTGAAGCAAATACTGCCAACACCCATTCTACAGACTGATATTGCATATTATAAAAGACAGTTGTCTGTACACGAGTTGTGCATTAATTGTCTTAATGATAACAATGTATAGTATGTATGGTCTGAAGTGGAAGAAAAAGAGAGAGCATTGAAATATGTTAATACTGGTTTCATTTTCTTAAGAATACTGTCCTCTAGATATTAAAAACATTCTGTTCTTCTCTAACATTTCAGAGGTCAGAACAGAAATTTAATGTCATTAAGGATTGTTAATGCCTTTAACCGCTCAGCAGTGAGCGATGACTATAGTCGTCAAGGGCGATCATTTGGCAGTGGTGAGTGACGACTATAGTTATCAAATTTTTTGGGGGTATCGCCAAAAATTAGCCTAAAACTACCGCAAAAAAAATTCACATAAAATATGAATTATGTAACAATAAAAAAAGACTTTTCTTTACTAGACATAACTATTTACAAAATCTTTTTCTGAAACAGTAATGAGAAAAAACGTGGTGAAAAATACTTTAAAAATTTCCCACGTTTATTCTCCACTACTGGGGGTAGAACCATACCTGACTTGTCCACTTTATCTTTATTTACTAAAAGGTTGAAAGGTTAATATATTGATACATAACAGCATATTTATATGGAAAGCAGCCACTTTTTTGCCCCAATGACTCATATTTTGGTGCCATACAGAAACACAACATTACTAGTATACAGATCTTTCATCAAGATAATTAGTGCCACAAAATACAAGAGTAGAAACAAGAATCTATTTATTGTTACAAAAGTGGCAAAGACTGGCATGGTATTGTAACTGTAACAAAGTTGCAAAAATATGGTAACCAAAAGACAATAACAGTCCCTTTCCTGGCAAAAATCAAGCATTTGCAAGTTAAAAAATGCCTTCTAGATACTAAAGTTCTGGTATTTCCAAGATGCAAATGAAGCGCTGCAGCATGCTGAGTTTGGGAGAATCTTTTTCAGTGTAAGTTTCAGTGCAATCTTGATCAAGCATACAAGAAATCATAAATTTCAGCAGCAAAACATTTTGATTTGTTACTGAAATTTCCTTCAGTTTGTTACTCCAATCTATCATGCATTCTACAGACAAATTCCATATGAAGAAGAAAAGGTAGGAAGATGAGGCACTGACAATGGAAGAGATTTATGATGATTGAAAATATGTGTGATGGTTTATGAATGGTACTATGTTCTCATGATGGTACACAGTATACAACAACAAAATGTAATAAGATACTATAAATTCATAAAAATCCTGGCATAAGTTGCTGTATTTCTATAATTATATTGTGCAGTAACTAAGTACTAATAAGACTCAATTTTGTGGAACTATAGTCTGCCAAGTGAACTCTTCATTAAATTTCTATTCATATTGAACAAGAACATAAATATTTAACTTAAAAAATTTTATAGTTATTGGCTGCATTTTGGTCTCTCAGTGAATTTTGTATGATTTAGATTTTTTTAGTTGATATGCTAACCTTTACAATAGACATAACCGACAATTGCCTGAATGATTGAGCTAGAATTTGGCTAATTAAATGATTAATATAAAGCAATTTGTCACTAGAGGGAAGTGTTAGGTGCCATCTCGTGATTAAATTAATAATTATAATTCTAATAATTTATTAAATAATTTAGAACCTTCTGGAATAAAAGAACTAACCTGGGGCGGGACTTGAATCTGCAACCTTCACACAGCAAGCGGAGGTTGTAGGTTCAAGCCTCGCCCTGGGTCAGTTCAATGTAGANTTTAAATAAAAAATAAAACTAACAACAAAAGTTAATAAATATATACCATGTATATAATATGTATTGATGGGTGAGCACATCTAACATTCCACTTGAATTTGACAAATCGGAGCAGGCACTATGCACAAATTAGAATGTCACTTTATGCAAGGCCATACATTCTGATATAATCATTGGTCAAATTCAAATGACACTTGCAACATGGTACCATTGGTTATGCTGGTATTGTACCATATAGAGGATGATTGATGACTTCACTAATGTTTACCCTGATTTTACCCGTTCCATCTGCACCTTTTGCAGATGGAAAGGGTGAAATTCAACCTTGTGCACTCACTTGGAAACCATTCACATTTGCTGAAATTGCTGTGGACAAATGTGTCACATAAGCCAAGTTACAGATCTCTTTGAACTGACAAGGACTGTATGGCCCAGCCTATTAAGAAAGACTTCAATACTGCATGAGTTATGTTTATTGAGCCCTAAATATGCACACAGGCAATGCTTATTGCACAGCACATTGGCATACCAAATATCTGTCTAGCACCTCAATAGTGCATTTCCAGACACCTGTTTATGAACCAAAGTTGTTCATTGTATTATTCTACAAACATTGTAAAGTTTGACACCATTGTCATGGATCATTCTGTATACATTTTTATTTACTTAATTATTATTTTTATTCTAATAATTTATTAAATAATTTAGAACCTTCTGGAATAAAAGAACTAACCTGGGGCGGGACTTGAATCTGCAACCTTCACACAGCAAGCGGAGGTTGTAGGTTCAAGCCTCGCCCTGGGTCAGTTCAATGTAGAAATTCAATAATTAAAATTTTTATTTTAAATACAGTATATAATATCTAATTGACTATAGAAATTTGGTTTTATCATTAATATGAAATTATTGAACATCAAAAGTTCATTGAAGTAGATATTAATATGAAAATTAAGAGTTGTACTGTACAGCTCAAAACAGACGGAAACTAGTTATTTCTATAATAACTTTAATGTACACATACTAATGAACTGTGCAGCCAAATGCAAATTTTCTTAAATTTGTAAACATTTTTTTATATGTAATAAAATAAAGTTTAACTCTAAAACATACTTACCCCTCCTCAGGCTATAGGAATGGATGTAGATGTTACAGATAAACTTGGCGGGATTCGTTCCAAGAGGTATGTACTATTTCATAGTTTTAAACATTAAAAAAGTGAAATTAAGTTGATGCCATTTTAAAATACATTTAATGCTTTTTTAGGTACTCAATGATAATAGAAGATGGTAAAGTGAAACAGTTATGTCTGGAACCAGACGGATTTGGACTGACTTGTTCACTCTCTTCAAACATACAAAAGTTATTGTAAATTTATCTGTATAATTTAATGTAAACACTGCAAAGAATTTCAATATAAAATGTACTGTACACTAATACATGAAGATTAAATATTATGTAAATTATTTTATTAAAAATGTTGATCAGTTCTTAGATATGTTAATTTCTTAATAATAAATAGTTATTATGCATATTTTGGAAAAATGTTTGCATTTTTTAAATTTCAAAACTTGCATTATACAATCTTGAAGCATATTATATTGTTAATATGTACAGAGTTTCTTTTAAATTCATATATTTTTCATAAATATGAAATAGTTTCTTCTGTATTGTGTTACTAAATATTGTAGCCTTCGATTCAAGGTTTTTAAATATGTAAATGTTTTTGATTTACATACTTAAGAATCTTGAATTGAAGACTTAAGTTTTATTAAGTGGGGAAATTCTCCCGAAATGGAGAAAATTATTATTGTTTATTGATTTAAATTTCTTACAATGGGGACAATTTAAATAATGTTATAAAATACATTCAATTCATAATAAAAAATTAACGAAGAAATTCCAAAGATTTAGAGAAAAAAGAGAAGAGCTTAAATAAGGCAATTTTTGACATAACCTCATTCTTCAAAAAATCACATCTAAACTCCTCCCCTAGTACAGAACATTTTAATTGGTATGTCACTTGACAGGATTCAACAAATGAGTCAGAAGATCATCTTTTTCTTTTACACCACAAAATTCACAACACCCTTCACTGGGTATATTTATCCGGTAACCCTTGAACAAAATTCGAAATCTGTTTAGTCTGAGTTGCATAATAAAGCTTTTTGTAGAAAAATTAGTCTCACAATTCAAGTAACTTGTTGTACACCAGACCAAGCGTGATTCAAACAGATTAACCCATTTAGCTGATATAGAAGACATATCCCAGTTCCACAACTGATCTGACTTAGTTTGAATTAGTGCATTTAAATGGGTTCTCAACAAAGAAGCTGAATGAGATAAAAATAAAAAGGAATAACCCAAGCCATCAAAAATATTTTTAACTGAATCTTGAAATGGAGAAAATATGTAAGGACAATGTGATATGTTGTCTTTTAACACTACACCAAAATTCTCCAACAGTTCCAAGATCTACAAGAACTTTGTAAGGACATTGATCATTTGAATAAATTGATTTATCAGATGATATGAGGTTACTAAATTATAATGGAAGTGTGAAAAGGGAATATTTTAAATTTAGGGAACCTTGAAAGGACCCAATAACCGAGGCGATAAAGACGACCATTTGCTCTGGGTAATAGGATTTGACACGACTTGTAGGTTTTTACAAATTGAAGCAAATAAAATTAAGTGTTTGTTGGAAAAGACAGATACAGCAGTCAGACATAGGTGGAGAATTGATGGAAAGTGCTTACCAATACCCAGGCAGAGAGATCTATTGGGTATGACGGGAGACAAATTTAGGGGAGGGGATGATATTTGGACATCTTACCTTAATATCATTGTCAATTGATTTGATTTAAATCCATTTACATCAAATATTTTTAAGACATGGGAAAATTCTAACAGGCTGAAAATAATAGAATATATTTAAAATTACTATCAAATTTGCTGTTACTTTCATATTAATTGTTCATCAAATAACAGATACCTTAATTCCATTCTCAGTCTTGAAGTTATGGCAGGAAACTTGAATTCATGCAGTCCAACCAATACCTTATCAAAATATGCTTAGAGACAACCCGTAAATAAATAGCATCCTTACTTTCAGATACTGTCAGAGTATCCACAGTATACAAATGTTGCATATGTATATTAATTAAAACCTACACTATCTCATCACTTGCTTTCTTCAAAATCTTAACCTTGCCAAACACAGGATCAACGAATTCTGTTATCTTGGCCTTCAGTATTGTTGACCCACTTGGCACTGCACGATCCAGCAGATTTCAAACATGCTCGACGGATTCATGTCAGGTGACTATGGCCACAGAAGCTCATGGATATCTTTTTAGCATTGTGGCAAGGGATTCCATCCATCATGAACACAGTGGATGTTTTGTCCATAAGTCCACTGAACAACATTAGGAGAACACCCTTCTCCAATATCACAATGTATTTTTCGGAGTTTCGAGAATGGAGAACGTTCCATGTACAGATTGTAAATACAGTACAGTAGAACCTCGAAAACTCGGCCTAATGTGGACCGAAGGGTGGCCGAGTTTGTGAAAATGCCGGGTTATCGGGAATGGGGTTAAAAAAGGATAAGTATGCGTTTTTCCTCAGAAAATACTGTACTGTACTTGTATGTATTGTTTACTTGAGAATATAACAGAGAATAAACCGCCCAAATACCCTTAAACAAAGGAAAAGCACGTCCTTTATGAAGGCATACAGCCTTTACTACATGAAAATGAAAATTAATGAATACACTGTGTACAGTAATTTATCTGATAAGACAGACCTCAGAAAAATACTTTATGAGAGCTTTTATACTTTTATAAAGCTGTCTATAATGAAAATTAATTAACTAAGGATTTTTTTGCCTTGCCAGGGTGTGGCCGAGTTATCCGGAGTGCCGGGTTATCGAGAGCCGAGTTTTCGAGGTTCTACTGTAATTACAAATTTATACGCTTTTTTGATAAGATCAACTTCATGATTTTGTGTGAAGCTTTCAAAAAATTCTGCCGAGTACCGCTTCTATTTCTTGCTTGTATATTAGTTTTAATGTCGAAGGTTACATAATAAACCAGCAACGAGTTGCTCAACTTTCCCGACAACAATTAAAATTATAGTGGCGCCATCTGTTATCATATTTTATTAAAAGCTTTTTATATTTTTAACTATTATAAAATGGCAAAAATCTTAATTTTGAGAATAGGGTCGAGTTTTATATAAAATTGTAAATGCTAATAACGAGTAAAATCGTCATTAATTCCGCCCCTACTGGAGATACATACGGCCCCATTATCTTCCCACCTCTCGACCTTTAACCACCAAAATTTAATAGCATCGATTCCCCTAATAAACAAACCCTCCCTGCAAAATTTCAGAAATTTTCGACAAAAAGCACAGGAGTTATTAAGCTTCAAACAGGGCAAACAAAATGATACCCACTCGCACACTAGGACAATTAGACTTAATAGCTCTTGTATACAGTATATTGCCTAATTTTTATTTATTTTTTTTTAATAAATGCATTAACGTTTATTTTTTTTAAATAAATGCATTACAATTTTAACAGGTTATATTTTTATATACTTTTTTTTTTTGTTTAAATTATGTACGCGTTTTAATGTGTTACATGTATACTTAGGTGACACTACGTGTATAATACTTATTTTTACGGTTAGTTTCTCTGAGTATCCCTAGATGGCGCTTACCGTGTGCAAATTAAAATTGTCCTTATTAAATGCCTAAGATTTATACTAAACAGCGAAAAACACTCTTGAAAAATCGGCATTTTTACTCATCTACATATTATTTCATGCCTAATATATTCTCGCTCTTGTTAATAAAGTTATATTTTAAGACTACATTAATCAAACTTATAAGAGAATTTAATTATTAAGTTGAATATATTTACGTAACATTCCTTAAAATAAAATTTCGGCCATTTCTTTGCTAAAGTTTTCCCTAAAATTGATAGGTTAAGTCTGCGGTCACGTGCTATTTACTAACAGAAAGTCACTTGTAAGGCAATTTGCAGGCGACCCTGACCGAAAGTTAAAAGTTTTATCTGTAATCACGTGTTCGAGTCTTCTATCTAAACCTTGGCCATGTCGAACTCTGAAGCAATAATATTAAACGGGAAAGAAATTTCAAAGTAAGAATTTATATTATATAAGAAATATATCCGCCATGCCGACTATATAGATGCGTATTTTTATTTTTATTTTAACGTGTATTAACCTTGGTAAAATGTAGACTGGAACCTTTATCTTTATAAAATAAATACTAATCAACCACGAGGCCCGAGCGGATTAAAATACAGCATTAAACATAATTTACTGTATATGTTACATACTATAGTCATGTGACTAAAATGGCATATTTTAAGAAAATTTGATGAATATATATTTTCTTTACGTTACAAAGTATTTAAAATAATTGGCTGACTCATCTACTTGTATTGTGTCCTTTTATTTTAAACAGAACAATTCGTGTTTTAAAATGGAGTTTAAGCCTGTGAAGAGTATAAAATAGGCGCGCGCATAAGGCCTCGTCGTCTGAGGGGGGCCTCAAAAATTACACAGCATAAAGATAACACGCCTCTAAAAATTTATGTCAACGCTTTAAAAGTGTATTTCGCACCCCAACAGTGACGTAACTCATATACAGCCTATTTTATCGTCTTTCTAATATAAAAAAAAACGCTTTTATATAAAGGCCTAGGGCCTTAAAGGAACATGATCCGCTGCTGATTCAAAGCAGGAAGCTTGAAATGAATGCTTATAAGGTGGCCTCATACGATTGCCCTACATGCGGCGTGTTTCACTGTAAATCTAAAGTGTCGAAGAGATAAGTAGTCTAGTCTGTGGCCTTGAACGTATTGTTACATAAAAAAATAAAAATGATTAATCAGTTTAAAAAACAAAAAAAAATAGAAAAATTTAAATTTTCCTATAAATGTATGAAGGGAATAGCGAGGAGGGGTGTATTGTGCCTAAAACGGAGTCCATTTTAAGCAGAATTTTATTTTCCGTTATTATAAGGTCATTAATTAATAAGACTATTAATCGTTAAATGCACGTAATAAAGTTTGAATAGATTGTATTTTATTATAAAAATATCAGAGTAATCCGAAACAATTCTACAGCATAAACGCTTGTCAAAGGTATCCGTCACCCTCTAGCGGACAACAGAGTTAAACTTAACCTATTCGCACCTAACCTGAATTACCCGACGGAAGGCCGAGGCGTTTAACGCATCGGCCTACCGCTCTGGAGGCTCCGGGATCGAATTCGGCCGGATGAGAAATTCCAAGAATTTTTCGTGACGGTTCGTTCCGACATGTCGGGCCTCGCCTCCATTGTGGGGGCCCCGACCGAACCCACGATGGGTATGATAAAGAAAAAAAAAAAAGTACTCATAGTACAAAAATGGGGGATATCAGACCCCATTTTTGTTATTATAAGTTATTATAAGTATCAGCCATTGGATACAGAAATACATTCTGTATCCAATGGCTGATACTTATAATAACTTATAATATTTATTCATTAATAAATATATACTTAAACTTGTAAATTATAGATTTTCAAAATATATATTTTACTTTTTATAGAGAAATTAAAAACGGAATATTAGAAGAAGTGAGACAGTTAAAAGAAAAATATGCAAATTTCAATCCTACTCTAGCCATTATTCAGGTAATTTTAACTAAAAAATTTAATTGTTTAAAAGTTTGTTTTTTTTAATTATAAACACTACCATTATTTATCAGTTACATATATAATGTAAAAAATAAAGTAGTAAATTCAGTCTGCAAAAAGTTAGAATTTACAGATAAAATTTAATATAAAGGTATGCACATGTTTTTATTATATCAAGATGAAACATGATTTAATTCAATGAACTGTGCTTAGAAAATAAATTATGCATGTAATCAATATAGTTTTTATTATGTCTGTTTAGATTAGTTAAATTTTTTGTATGAAGTCCCATGTGCTTGGAGGTTTAAGAGTTTAACCACTCCTATTTGGGAAGAATTAAAAAATTAAATTAATTCATACAACTAATCCAGTAATTACTTTAAATATCAAATGAACAGCTGGATTCTTTTATCACGATATTAAGGCAAAATAATAGTTAATGAAGACCTTAATTTCTACAATATATAGGTGTAACACCTTAAAAATTATTTGGTCTTGATGTTCGTTTGATATTTAAATTAAATTAAATTAAAATGATATTTATTTTATATCCATTCAGTTCCTCCTTAGGTAAATTGTCCTATGGTACACTAGCATAGTTTTAGTTTACTGAACTAAATCTTGGTTTTAGTCAGACAAATTCATTTTAGTACTAAAATCGAAACTAAAACTACTAATAGAAAAGTAATGTTGTGCAAAATGATTCATTTGATTATTCTCAGACATTTGAATCAACTTAGTAAAGTGAGTTGACTCAGTTTTTATACATGACTCATTGATGAAACCACACATGCGTGCAAATATATACATCAAACTAAAGCTTATTCAATGAGTGTAATGCACGACAGTTAATAAATTGAAATACAGCTTTCAATAAGATATTACAAACATTCAGTTTTTGCTGCTGGTTTTGGATTCATAACTTGGACTAAACAAAACAAAAAGTTCATGAATATTTATGGATGGATAAATGAACAAACTAAATATAAAATTAAAATGTTAAAAAATATAAGGACACACAATATAATATTTTATCTGTTATTGTTACCAAACTCCATTATCACTTCATAAGGTAATGTAAGATTTAACAGTTTTCAGGAACATGTTTTCAAGCTTATTAGTATAAAGTTCAGTTTATGAGAGCAGCATGCTAAAAGTGAGTTGATGTTTTGAAACAGCTGAATATCGAGAATCAACTTGTCGAAACACCACTACTGATTCAATTCATTGTATAAACTCTCACTTTGGCCACAATTATAGAGAAGAGCTTAAAGTGAAACTAAAACTATTAATAGGAAACAAACACTTAAAATTACATTGAAAATACTGAAAACAGTTTTAGTTTAGTTTTTGAAACAATATGATTTGAATTTTAGTAAAATTTTTGTAAACTCTTATTCTTTTTCACAGTAGTTGTAATATAAAAGTAGCTGAATTTGCTACAGTTTCTTATAACAAGGTGACCAAATCCAAGTGAAAACTTTTAGGTTTTTAAAAATTGAAAATCACTATGGAATCTAAACATTTACGGATGGCAGACCCCAAGGAAAAATCCTTACTTTATTAATTAAGTTAAATTTTTCAAATTCTCTTACCAGTAATTCTTCATAACCTTGCACTCAATGTATAATTAAGATGGATTGCATATCAAATTAGTTTATTGCTAGAACAGTTACATTGCAAGTTATGGCTTTGCCAACCAGGATTTACATTTCAATTTTATTATATAAATTGTTTAAATAAAAAATAAAACTAACAACAAAAGTTAATAAATATATACCATGTATATAATATGTATTGATGGGTGAGCACATCTAACATTCCACTTGAATTTGACAAATCGGAGCAGGCACTATGCACAAATTAGAATGTCACTTTATGCAAGGCCATACATTCTGATATAATCATTGGTCAAATTCAAATGACACTTGCAACATGGTACCATTGGTTATGCTGGTATTGTACCATATAGAGGATGATTGATGACTTCACTAATGTTTACCCTGATTTTACCCGTTCCATCTGCACCTTTTGCAGATGGAAAGGGTGAAATTCAACCTTGTGCACTCACTTGGAAACCATTCACATTTGCTGAAATTGCTGTGGACAAATGTGTCACATAAGCCAAGTTACAGATCTCTTTGAACTGACAAGGACTGTATGGCCCAGCCTATTAAGAAAGACTTCAATACTGCATGAGTTATGTTTATTGAGCCCTAAATATGCACACAGGCAATGCTTATTGCACAGCACATTGGCATACCAAATATCTGTCTAGCACCTCAATAGTGCATTTCCAGACACCTGTTTATGAACCAAAGTTGTTCATTGTATTATTCTACAAACATTGTAAAGTTTGACACCATTGTCATGGATCATTCTGTATACATTTTTATTTACTTAATTATTATTTTTATTCTAATAATTTATCTATCAAAATCCCATGTTAAGATATGAAACAACTAGAGTAGGTCTGGTGAGTGAAGCTAAAGCTATAGGTATATATAGCAACTGAAAACTTAGAAACATGAATAAATTCAAAACTTTCCAGCAAATAAAAGTAAAAAAATATAAAGATCAAAAGTTTTCGGCCACTAAATTTATCGGCCTTCCTCAGGAAATACAAACTGAAAAAACCATTCTATAAATAGAATGTAGCTGCCTTGTAAATTTTAAAAGAAGTGAATATCTAGTTTATGGTGAGGTTGTATTTACATGAATAAAACATTATTATTTCATATCTGTAAATTGTAGAAATGAAGTAACTATGTTCTAAAAAATGTTTTTTTTTTATAAACTACTGTTTTAAAATTCTTGCCCAAGGATCTGATGAAGTCTTGCTTTTCTTTTTAATGAAAAATCATATAATTTTTTAAAGTGTGATTAAGATATTTCATAAAATTATCAGTTCATAATAATAAGAATCTTATTAGATAACTAGTATACAATTATGAGCTACAGTGCTATCTGTAGCTCATAATTATTATGCTGTAGCATAACAACCTGATAGTAAGGGAGGCTCAAATTAGAATGTACAAACATACATTCATCCCTGTACCACTGAATGTAGTCACTAGCTCTTAATGGAAAGTAAACTTTCAAATATCGTATATACATGTGTACAAATATATTTGTCATATTTAAGTAAATTTTTTTTTATAAGTTTATTTGATTTTTCTTAAAGGAGACTTAGACTCCTTTCCTTCCTACTTTTGTAAATAATTAATTAAGAAAAATTCCCTGGACTATTACTCACGTGAGTTAGAATCTGAATTTGAATGAACACATCTGTATCAGAAAGACATGAGTTTGTTTACTTTTGAAGCAGAACAAATTTTGATTTCTTTCTATACTTAGATATATAGTTCATAATTACAGATTTTGGTGTTTATTTGTCAATTATAATTAACTTTTTGTTATTTTTAGGTAGGAAATCGAACAGACTCGAGTGTGTTTATTCGCACAAAATCAAAATCTGCTAATGAAGTTGGTATCAGAGCTATACACATTCATTTGCCTAGAAATATAACAGAACAAGAGGTTTGTAAAAATATTATATTTGAAGTTTCTGAAGAATATGTAAATAAAATTTAATATTCACTCTTTTGTTCAAATAGTTGATAAAGAAGATTCAAGAGTTAAATAAAGATCATGAAATTCATGGAATAATAGTTCAGGTATTGATGAAGTTGTATTAATGGCTTTTGCTAAGTTGATAATTAAGAATTTTTTCATTTTAAAATGATATCCATTAATTATGTATACAGTGTATGAGGAGGGGATCAAGACATTGTTACATGGATGTTTTTAGTGGTATTATACATTAATCTGTTCTTTTAAAGCTACTTACTAGTCAAGTGAATAGACCATAGTTTAGAAAACATTTAGAACTTTTTAAAACCATTTATTCAATAGCAGGAGGTCCATGAACTATTGTACACATAATTAAAAGGGAAGAGGTTTGCAAAAGTACATCATTGTACATAATAGGGAGGAGTCAAAAATGGTCCAAAAATTACACATGTAATTAAAGGATGGCTTCTAAGTTAATTTTAAAAGAATTTTTTCATTTTACTTTAGTTGCCATTAGACTGTGAATCATCAATAGATACGAATGTTATCATTAATACTGTTTCTCCAGAGAAAGATGTTGATGGGTAAGTCATTATATTCAATTAATAAGGAAATCAATATCAAAATGATTGATATGGATTTTACCATAGAATTTTCTAAAACAGTAATATTAATATTAATTTAACTTTAAAAAGCATAATTTAGTTTAATTTTAATTAATTAATTAATGAAATTAACTTAAGAGCTTGAAGTATGTACAAAAAAAGCTTTAATTATTGAAATATTTTATGTTGTCTGCACTGGCCAAACTGCAGCTTGAATATCGTTTTTATGGCTTACTAATCCATGAATATTGATTTAAATTGGATAAAAATTCTAAAATCTATTGAGTTGTCAGTATTGTGGCATAGTATTTAAATAAACTTTTAGTTTGTATAATAAAATTTACTGGCATTGACATTAGTTTTAATAAGATTTATGTTAGTATCAGCTATTTCATTATTTTATAAAACAAAAAGAATTTAATTTAAATTATTTTGTAAAGAAAATTTCAACAAAATATGAGAAAAGGAATAATAAAACACATTCTTGTTAATTGTGTACTAAATAAATTAAAGCTGTATAAAATTATTCAGATAACTTTATTTAGCTTTTACTACTTTATAAAATGGTAATGAAGTCACTATGCATGCTTGCTAGAAGTTATCCATGTGCTTCCTTCCACTTTCAGCACAAATTTAAATTTTTTTCAGAGTTGACTTCATGGATGTGTAATTTGTGCATTTGCACAGAGCCTACACTCAGGAGGGACTTAGAAGGGCATCAAATTTGGTTATGATTTATAAGCCATGTTAGCATTCAACAATTGAAGTTGTTAATAAATGTAATGACTATATGTATATATGTTATATCAGTGTTTCTCAAAGTGGGTAATAACGCCCCCCTTGTGGGCCATGAGTAAATCTGGGGGGTGCTGGAGGCAGGGTATTGAACCAAAGGCAAAATTGGGGTTACTGAAAGCCGTTCCCTTTCCTCTGTTAAACTGATAAGAGGAAACATTGAGTTTAATGGTTTCCGGATGTTGAGAACAATGTACGATAAGGTCACAAAGTGTGAGATTCATAGAAAAGTTTTCCTAAGAATATTTCCAATCCTTTCTCACACAAGAGAAAATGGGTTAAGGGGCATTGGGTATAACTTTATGGAACAAAGGGGACGGTGGATCAAAAAAGTTTGGGAATCACTGTATTATATCATAGTGAGTTTGTAATGTGCTTTTTCTATTAAATAATAAAAGTTTGATGGTACTGGTGGGCAACCCTTTAGGGAACCATTACTCATGGTGACTCCTTTTACTCTCCACTTTTCTAGCACTGACCTTTCAGTAAACAAGTTATGTAATCTTTGTTCACCTAACCTGTTCTACGAATTTAACCAGTTACATCACAATCTCTTACAAGCTTAACAAATCTAACATGCCATGTGAAAACTGAATCTTTATCCTCCTCTTCCTCATTGTCATCATCATTAGTTTTTGATAGATTATATAGTTTTTTGGAGAGTGGAGTTCAAATATTTTTAATATATTAAAAATCTATAAATGTTTCATCAAAATAGTTCAAGTTCAAATTAAATAATGTGCAATACATGAAATTAAAAAAATTCCGAGTAGAAAATTAAAAATTTTAAGTTATTTTAATAAACTTATATAATTTTAGTGATTTTGTGTTCTAAAATGTTAAATTATTCTTTTGATAACTAATATAAAAAATTAAATATTTCTTTAATTATATTTTATGCTTTAATACAAGTAAAATATATTTAAAGACATAATTATAAAAATGTTAAAAAGAAAAAAAAATTAATTTTGCAGAATTCATGATCAGAATGCTGGTAAATTAGCTCATGGACAATTGGAAGGCTTTTTTATTGCTTGCACTCCTCAAGGTTGTTTAGAACTCATCAAAAGAACAGGCAAGTGTTTTTTTATATCATAGAAACAGTAAATTTGAATATTAAATCATCATAATATTTTTAATAAAATTAACTTTTGAATAATATTTTTTTTTAATAACTAACTAAGTTATGAAAAATGTAAATAGAAAGAAAATAGTTTTTTTTATTTCTAAGATTATAATGGAAATAAGAAAAAATAGATAAAATGAAATAAAAAATGAGTATTATTTTTCAAGTATTTTCAAATATAGAATTTTATAATGTGTTTAATAAATTCACAATAACAAAATGTCTGCTTTATTAGATTTCACTTTGTAATATTTTTTTCTCAAGTACTTTTGGGCAACTAAGTGCATTGTCAGGAGACACAGAAGTGATTCAGTTTAGTAGGCTGATAACTAAGTCACCTAAGTTTGATTATGTAACATCTGATCATTGTACTACAATCTAAGACCATTGGCACCCACCTCTATACTATCCCCAAGAAAATACTTGACATCTTCCATTCACCTACAAGTGCAATACATAAGAACACTATATTTTAACATAAGAACAATACAGAATAATAACTAAAAACTCAACTATAAAAGAATAATAACAAGAAAATCATCAGAGGCGAATCACTGATTTCACTCATCTATAAAAAATTTTTTGTTGTTCATTTTGTGCATCCCAAAGCTTTAAAAATATACTTTATTAATTAATTGTTATTAATAATATGTCTCATCTTTCTGTAGGTTTCTGTAGAAAGTTTTTCTCCAGCCCTCTACATACCTTACTTCCCTTTTTGACCTTCCTCACAAGTTCACCAAACATCCTCACAATTAGCCCATCATTGTGGGCTATCTTCTCCAGGATTTCTAATTCCTTATCTAGTGTCTCCCAGTCACTAGATACATTGTAGTTCTTTTTAATTAGAGATCTAAATGCTGCATACCTATATATTAATGAGTCCTCTGAGTCAAGCAATATATAAATTGACCTGTAAGAGTAAACCACAATATAATACTGTAAACCAAATTTCTAAACGTATCATCCTTCTTTTCAAAATATATCAGCAAATATAATTTAATATAAGTATGCTACAACAAATGTTTTTGATTTGTTGATCGAAAACATTTGTTACAACATATTTATATTAAATTACAGTCGACCCCCTAGAACACGGTAGATACATTCCATTTTATAAGAATTTCACGTTGTAGGAATCCTTAAATACATGAGTAATCATAGCTTGGTACGTGTGCAGTTTACGGACTATGGCTGTTGACCATAAAATTAATCGATTCTAGACTAATTTGACTCAACATTTCCAAAACACGTATAATTTTTTGGGAATAATCTGTATAAACTATGCTATAAACAAAAAATTGTAGGATTACTTACCGAGTGTGCACTGTTCGACGATGCCATTGATTAAGCTTGTTTTTGTCGTGGAGCAGCACACCGAATGGTGGGCATGTTCTCTGATAAGTTATTTTTCTGTGAAAAATTCACTGAACCTTGGAGACATCATTAATAGAAATAATTTTCATGGCTGTTGAATAAGAAATGTTTACCCGCCTAAACTCTCAGTAGCATGTAAGTAGTTCAGGCTGCTTGTCCACTCAATAGTGGACAAGCAGCCGAATGGCTGTTTTATAATGGCTGTTTAAATAATTTTCATGGCTGTTGAATAAGAAATGTTTACCTGCCTAAACTCTCAGTAGCATGTAAGTAGTTCAGGCTGCTTGTCCACTCAATAGTGGACAAGCAGCCGAATGGCTGTTTTATAATGGCTGTTTAAATAATTTTCATGGCTGTTGAATAAGAAATGTTTACCTGCCTAAACTCTCAGTAGCATGTAAGTAGTTCAGGCTGCTTGTCCACTCAATAGTGGACAAGCAGCCGAATGGCTGTTTTATAATGGCTGTTTAAATAATTTTCATGGCTGTTGAATAAGAAATGTTTACCTGCCTAAACTCTCAGTAGCATGTAAGTAGTTCAGGCTGCTTGTCCACTCAATAGTGGACAAGCAGCCGAATGGCTGTTTTATAATGGCTGTTTAAATAATTTTCATGGCTGTTGAATAAGAAATGTTTACCTGCCTAAACTCTCAGTAGCATGTAAGTAGTTCAGGCTGCTTGTCCACTCAATAGTGGACAAGCAGCCGAATGGCTGTTTTATAATGGCTGTTTAAATAATTTTCATGGCTGTTGAATAAGAAATGTTTACCTGCCTAAACTCTCAGTAGCATGTAAGTAGTTCAGGCTGCTTGTCCACTCAATAGTGGACAAGCAGCCGAATGGCTGTTTTATAATGGCTGTTTAAATAATTTTCATGGCTGTTGAATAAGAAATGTTTACCTGCCTAAACTCTCAGTAGCATGTAAGTAGTTCAGGCTGCTTGTCCACTCAATAGTGGACAAGCAGCCGAATGGCTGTTTTATAATGGCTGTTTAAATAATTTTCATGGCTGTTGAATAAGAAATGTTTACCTGCCTAAACTCTCAGTAGCATGTAAGTAGTTCAGGCTGCTTGTCCACTCAATAGTGGACAAGCAGCCGAATGGCTGTTTTATAATGGCTGNGTAGAAATTAATAATTGTAATAAAATTATTCTATTCTTTACATAACTTGTGTAATAATTGTTAAAATTTTTAAGAACAAATTTCTAATTTTAAACTGGATTTCATATCCTAAAATACCAAATCACAAATATTTCTTTTAATATTGAATTGAATTTCAACGATGTCCATATCTAGCAATAAAAATGATTTAATACACATTAATATATTTGTATTTCAGAACATAAATGTGTATTAAATATACATCTATGTTAAAATTTTATCAATGTTTGAAATTAAAAAACAAAATTAATGTGTTTTATGTAAAGAATAGAATAATTTTATTATAATGGTTAATTTCTATATAAATACTGAATGAATGAATTTGTCATTTAAATAGGAAGTGATTGTATTAAATTTGTATTATATGAGTAATTACTTTTTACTATAAAAAATTTTTTTTCCATAGAATTACACCAACACCTTTAGGAGAAGGTAAAAGTACAACTACTATTGGTTTGTGTCAAGCACTTGGTGCTCACCTAAATAAAAATGTCTTTGCTTGTGTTCGTCAGCCATCTCAAGGACCTACTTTTGGAATTAAAGGTATATCAATATTTATTTATCTTTTTGGAAAGTTAATTTTTGTATTATTGTTGTTACAATGTAAATGTGGAAAACCGAACAAGCTAACTTTAAATCATATTAGAAGAATTTCAATTAAAAAATTTGAACACTTGAGTTGCCACTATTGAAAGAAGACAAAACTTGCACCAAATATGCATTCATTTTTTCACATTAAAATATGTCGGTTTTACACAGATTAAAAATAAATTATTTATTTTCAATTTGAGCAATCTTTATGGAATTTAATGTGATGATGAAAAATTGAGTCATCGGCACCTNATAAAAATGTTAAAAAGAAAAAAAAATTAATTTTGCAGAATTCATGATCAGAATGCTGGTAAATTAGCTCATGGACAATTGGAAGGCTTTTTTATTGCTTGCACTCCTCAAGGTTGTTTAGAACTCATCAAAAGAACAGGCAAGTGTTTTTTTATATCATAGAAACAGTAAATTTGAATATTAAATCATCATAATATTTTTAATAAAATTAACTTTTGAATAATATTTTTTTTTAATAACTAACTAAGTTATGAAAAATGTAAATAGAAAGAAAATAGTTTTTTTTATTTCTAAGATTATAATGGAAATAAGAAAAAATAGATAAAATGAAATAAAAAATGAGTATTATTTTTCAAGTATTTTCAAATATAGAATTTTATAATGTGTTTAATAAATTCACAATAACAAAATGTCTGCTTTATTAGATTTCACTTTGTAATATTTTTTTCTCAAGTACTTTTGGGCAACTAAGTGCATTGTCAGGAGACACAGAAGTGATTCAGTTTAGTAGGCTGATAACTAAGTCACCTAAGTTTGATTATGTAACATCTGATCATTGTACTACAATCTAAGACCATTGGCACCCACCTCTATACTATCCCCAAGAAAATACTTGACATCTTCCATTCACCTACAAGTGCAATACATAAGAACACTATATTTTAACATAAGAACAATACAGAATAATAACTAAAAACTCAACTATAAAAGAATAATAACAAGAAAATCATCAGAGGCGAATCACTGATTTCACTCATCTATAAAAAATTTTTTGTTGTTCATTTTGTGCATCCCAAAGCTTTAAAAATATACTTTATTAATTAATTGTTATTAATAATATGTCTCATCTTTCTGTAGGTTTCTGTAGAAAGTTTTTCTCCAGCCCTCTACATACCTTACTTCCCTTTTTGACCTTCCTCACAAGTTCACCAAACATCCTCACAATTAGCCCATCATTGTGGGCTATCTTCTCCAGGATTTCTAATTCCTTATCTAGTGTCTCCCAGTCACTAGATACATTGTAGTTCTTTTTAATTAGAGATCTAAATGCTGCATACCTATATATTAATGAGTCCTCTGAGTCAAGCAATATATAAATTGACCTGTAAGAGTAAACCACAATATAATACTGTAAACCAAATTTCTAAACGTATCATCCTTCTTTTCAAAATATATCAGCAAATATAATTTAATATAAGTATGCTACAACAAATGTTTTTGATTTGTTGATCGAAAACATTTGTTACAACATATTTATATTAAATTACAGTCGACCCCCTAGAACACGGTAGATACATTCCATTTTATAAGAATTTCACGTTGTAGGAATCCTTAAATACATGAGTAATCATAGCTTGGTACGTGTGCAGTTTACGGACTATGGCTGTTGACCATAAAATTAATCGATTCTAGACTAATTTGACTCAACATTTCCAAAACACGTATAATTTTTTGGGAATAATCTGTATAAACTATGCTATAAACAAAAAATTGTAGGATTACTTACCGAGTGTGCACTGTTCGACGATGCCATTGATTAAGCTTGTTTTTGTCGTGGAGCAGCACACCGAATGGTGGGCATGTTCTCTGATAAGTTATTTTTCTGTGAAAAATTCACTGAACCTTGGAGACATCATTAATAGAAATAATTTTCATGGCTGTTGAATAAGAAATGTTTACCCGCCTAAACTCTCAGTAGCATGTAAGTAGTTCAGGCTGCTTGTCCACTCAATAGTGGACAAGCAGCCGAATGGCTGTTTTATAATGGCTGTTTAAATAATTTTCATGGCTGTTGAATAAGAAATGTTTACCTGCCTAAACTCTCAGTAGCATGTAAGTAGTTCAGGCTGCTTGTCCACTCAATAGTGGACAAGCAGCCGAACTACTTACATGCTACTGAGAGTTTAGGCGGGTAAACATTTCTTATTCAACAGCCATGAAAATTATTTCTATTAATGATGTCTCCAAGGTTCAGTGAATTTTTCACAGAAAAATAACTTATCAGAAAACATGCCCACCATTCGGTGTGCTGCTCCACGACAAAAACAAGCTTAATCAATGGCATCGTCGAACAGTGCACACTCGGTAAGTAATCCTACAATTTTTTGTTTATAGCATAGTTTATACAGATTATTCCCAAAAAATTATACGTGTTTTGGAAATGTTGAGTCAAATTAGTCTAGAATCGATTAATTTTATGGTCCAGATTCGACCAATCCTGTCGTGACACGAGTTGGCAATGACATTTTACTGCATTTTACGAGTCTCTTTTAGCATCTTTATACAAATACGATCACAATATATGAACCCGCATTATATGAACCTGCATTATAGGGGGTCGACTGTATATTTACTGGTATATTGAGAATCTCCTCAAATTGCTTTGGGATAATTAATTAAATTATTCCCTACTCTGCAGTATGTAATGCACTAACATTCTGCTCACTTCCTCTCTCAACAAGTTCTTTAAGCTTCTTCATATGTTTCTTCCTCATAAACTACACATATTCTATATCCTATCTTTGTAGAAGGGTGGAACCAGTGATTCTAGTGACTTTGTTGTTATTTTTATAATTATTATTGTTTTTTTGCTTATGTAACATGCCAACTTTTAGGGACAATCAGTTAATTGCACGTCAGGAAAAGTCTAGTGACTGATCATATGTGGGTGATGATGCTGGAGGCAAGGATGACACATATTCTTACAAAACCGTTTATTTTTTGACATAAAATATCTTACACTAAGAACAAAATAGACTTCTTTGAGGATCAGGCACTGGGTATGATGATCGTTGATTTTGCAGGGTTGCTCAACAGTCAATGGTAATGGTGCAGCCCCAGGGCGGAGACTGCGTAGGTGAGATGGTCTGCTGAATCATGTATCCTTGAAAGTCGGAATAGGTCAGATGAGATACAATGGATGAATCAGAACAGTTCGGAGATGATGTGACACTGGTCAATCGCTGCCAAAATTGGAGGGGAACTGTCATTTTGACCTTGAAATTTGGGGGTTTTATATGATTTTTTTCTTGAATCTCTCCTTTTGATTGTTCTGTATTCCCTTCTTTGCTTCCTGATTAGGCTGCATTTTGTTTCGAGGTAAAACCTGAGACTTGTTCGAGTCACAAGAGAGGTCTATTTTGTGGTGTCTGTCTGATACGTTTTTATCGACTCTGACTGGATTTTGTTGATAGATCCATAAGTCGTGCACTCATAATTCAGCCTGTTGTTTCTATTTTCTGTCAATTTTTGGATTTAATGACTGCACGTGATGTTTTCTTAACCATTTAATCTTTCCCCTTTTTTTACTTTTTAACCTAGATTAACTACAGTGGGTGATCGGTTAACGAACAGATCGGTTAACGAACAGATCAGTTAACGAACAAATCAGATAACGAACACTTTCACGAAAGATTTTTATGATCGGACAACGAACATATGTTCGGATAATGAACACTTCACTGAACAGGCACAAGAAGCGACGTAAAATAATGAATATCGATTGGTCTTCCTTTGTCTTCAGGCAACAATTCAAAACTTTTCGGAGCGCGGGAGATGTCGACATCGACGTTCTACCCAATACTGATCGGATAGTATTCCCCCGAACTTTGAAACGCTCTCTTGTAATTCCAGCCTTTTGTATTTCTGACAGAAACAATTCTTTTACGTTTTCTTCTGAAAATGCAGATTTATGCCAATATCCGCTATTAAAGATCTTTTGAAGAAGTAGGAGGATGTCAGAACAACGATCTTAAAATGGCATCCTCCTACTTCTAGGGATCTCTACAATTACAATGCTATTAATTACTTCTGAAAAATCATGAATAAGACAGAAAAGCAATCGACATTGGATAGATTCTTTAACCCCCACAAACAGAAAAAACATGACTAATAAAAATGCAAGACCGTGTATATACGTATTTTTATTATTACATGTGAATAAACTTAGTAAAAAAGTATATACTTTTTTTATTTTTGGGGGTCTCCAGAACGAATTAATCAAATTCCCATAGAAACCTATGTTAAATCGATAATCGGTTAACGAACAATTCGGATAGCGAACAAAGTCTTGGAACGCATTATGTTCGTTAACCGATCACCCACTGTATTTATGAATGTTCATGTCAAAGTTCCATCTTTTCCAGCTGACATTTCATCTGATCCATTACATCAGTCATCTTTGTGTTTGTTTTAACAACAACAGTTTTCTTTTTTTTAAAAAGATGTGCTAAGTAGGCCTATATTTTACATTTAGAGCACCATTCTGATGAATTTGAATGCATGGGTGAAAATTTTTGAATGTTCACCTCAAGCAAATGAAACTTAATAATTTATCTTGTTAATCTTGTGAATTTTCATTAGTTTTCATTTGCTAAATTCATACTCTGATCATAAATTTTAATGAATAATTTATATCTATTTAGATTTCAATTTGAATTAGACTATATTATTTTTAATTGAATCTTATTGATGTTTATTTAATTTTATAAATAAAATTTGTTATTTTCTTTATTACTGATTAATAAATTATATATAGAAAAAATTTAAGAGACACTGCCAATGGGAGTAATATTAGTTGATTGCCCATTAACAATACCAGAAAAAATGAGAATATAACTGATTAATGAATTTTTATGATCTTTGCTAGAAGAAAGTATATTCTTACAGTAGTTTCATACACATACATAAGTTATAGATATATATATATATTCAGTGCATAAACTGGTGACACTGGTTTTTGTAAATGTTGCATTGCTCCAATTTTTCACCAGGTACATAATTTCTATGTATATTATTGCAGACTAAACAAGAAACCATTTCTTAATCAGGCATAAGCCTACTTTTATTTTAAGTAGTTGGAACAGTCTTGCAATTCATGATTCTTCTTGCCCAGTTTTTTATTTTTTTTTGTCTATAATGCCCTTTTACAGCTACCATTTTATTGTATGAGTTCATTCCTGATCATGTAATGAGGTTACATCTTGCCTTTTTAGTGATTCTTCTGTACTGCTAGTTAATAAACTGTCCTAAATAATAATAGAAAGATCATTGATGCTACATCTGAAAATGAAATTTTCTTGGCAATAAATAATATATTTAGCTCAATAACTCATATGCCAGCACAAATTTCAACAATATTCACTGGCCATCAGCGGAAGCATTGGCAGTTTTTCCGACAAGTTACATCAGTTTTATTTAAATTCAGTTTTATTTTATTTTTTAACAATTTCTTTTAATTGTAAAATGTGTTTTGTTTCAAATAATAATTATGAAATTAACAATTTAGGAGTACAGATTAAAGGAAGTAAAGTAGTGGTCATAGGAAGAAGTAAAATTGTAGGAACTCCTGTGGCACAGCTCTTAACTTGGCATCATGCTACTGTTACAACATGCCATTCACGCACTTCTAATTTAGCAGAAGAGGTATGTTTTTAACTATTTTATAGTTATTTCTGTTTAAAAATATTATCAAACCATTTAAAAAATTAATTTTTTCGAAAAACTTTTTTTTTTTTTTTTACGAGTGTTATGTCACTATTAAACGCAGTGTTAAGTGGTTGGAAGTCGTGAATTTTATTATTTGTTGTTCTAAAAATTTTGGATTTTAATGATCACATTGGAAGAGAAGATGGTAGAAGATAAATTTTAAGAGAATTTGACAAGGATTTTGGTTATTTATTTTATTTATTTATTATTATTTTTTGTTAGGTCAGACAAGCAGATATTGTTGTTGTTGCTGTTGGAAAAGCAGAATTAGTGAGAGGTGATTGGATTAAACCTGGTGCTGTTGTAATTGATTGTGGAATTAATTCTATTCCTGGTAAATTGTTTTACTTAGAACTTAAGCATTGTTTTAATATAAGAAATAAATTATGTTTATTTATATATTTACGTTTCAAAAATGCTAAATTTCAATTTTGATGTTTAAATTTAAGTATTGCTGATTTATTTAATTTAAGTTAAATGTTTCAAATTTTTTAGCAAAGGATAAAAATAGCATTCTGTTTCATTACAATAGTTTCTTACAATTTTTCAAAGACCAACTTTATTCATGAAATCATCAAGCAAAAACATTTACAATTTTGTGTGTTTTTGTTGTGTGATTTTAGAGATTTTACAAGGAGAATGAATTGGAATGATTTGGAATTTCCGTTTACTTCTTCTTTTGAGATCTATCAAATTTATTTGGTAAAATATCATGCCAAATTTCTATATTCTTTAAGACAGTATGATCATTACCCTTTATGCTCTGATTACTTGAATTAAATCTCTACTATTTCAATGTTGTAAAATTAGAAAAAAATTATATACTTCTATTTAATTATTTGGATAATGTACAGTAACTTTATAAAATTATTCTATGAAATGTAATATATATATATTATATAATTTTTCAGATTCTACAAAAATTTCTGGATATAGATTAGTGGGAGATATTAATTTTCAAGAAGTTAAAAAAGTTGCTTCATATATAACACCTGTACCAGGAGGTGTTGGACCAATGACTGTAGCAATGATAATGAAAAATACTTTACAAGCAGCAATTGAAGCTGCCAAGAAATATTCAACAATAAAGCCATGGAAGTTAGAAATTCTTCCACTCACAATTAAAACTCCAGTTCCTAGGTTAATATATATGAATTTTATATTAATTAAATAGTTTTATATACTTTTTTAGGAATGATAAAATTTTCAAAAAATTATTATTAAAATTGTAGTGATATAGAAATAGCTAGAAATCAAACTCCAAAAAATATAGCTGATTTGGCAAATGAAATTGGATTATTACCAAGTGAAATTGAATTGTATGGAACAACAAAAGCAAAAGTGTCATTAGCTACATTAGATCGTTTAAAGAATCATAAAAATGGAAAATATATAGTAGTAACAGGGTAAGTTTTAAATATTTGTTCTTATTTCTTAATTTTTCAGATAATTAACTTTGTTTTGTATAAGCTTTAGTTGTATTACTCTTTAATTAAAATATACAAATTATGAATTTTTTTTTTTTTTTAAATATTCAACAATGTTGTGCTTCTTACAAATATATCTTTTGGAAAGTCTGTAATATGTTATCATATTTCTGTGAAGAGTCACAGGATTTATTGTATTGATGCAGTTCTCTCTNAAGATAAGAGAGGTAATTGTAATTTACAATAAATTATAAATTGTTAAATAATTATATGGTATTTATTATTTTTTTAGAGTTTAACATATTACATAATTTTGAAATACAAAATATTTTTGAATTTTTGTTACTTATTTAATATTTAAATTATGATTGTTTTAAAGACTCAGTTTGACATTACTGTTGCAAGTGAAATTATGGCAATTCTTGCTTTAACAACTGATTTAAGTGATATGAGAGAGAGATTTAAACGTATTGTTGTAGCTAGTAATAAAGAAGGTTATCCAATAACAGCTGAAGATTTGGTAAGCATTAGTTTTTATCTATTATATGTTACATTCAGTATTGTACAGTTTATAAAATTTTTAGGGTGTATTTGGAGCTTTAACAGTATTTATGAAAGATGCAATTAAACCAAATTTGATGCAAACGCTTGAGGTAAGAAACAGTAGAATTTTAAAATTATATTATAATTACTGCTGAAAATATGTTAATATGTTATTTTATCAAAATATGCTGTATTTTTTTCTTTATAAATTTTTAATTTTAAAAATTGTAGGTTTGTGTATTTGTATTTATATTTATATATATACAGTTTTTCTCCTAAAACTTTAAAAAAGCCAAAGAATGTTTTTGATTAGTATTTGTTACCTATAAATCTTATTTTTACCTTTTAATCTTTGAAATAAAACGTTTTGATTTCAAAAATAAGTTTGAAAATAGATTATTATAATGTCTTCAGTAAAGTATTAGCCTACCATTATGGCAGATCTAGATGTAAATTTGATTTCTACATTCATAAATTTTTTAAAACTACTTTGGGTTAGATTATTGTTTACATCTGTTTCCATATTTTTCAACTATGCTGAAGATCCATATAGTCTTGTATACCTTGTGCCAATAAAAAAATTTAAATAAAATTAGATATAATTTTATATTCCATTTAGTATCCTTACATTTTGTTCACTTTTAGCTTTATTGAAATGTTGTAATAGAATTTCTCAGTTAATAAATGATTTTTGTAATTACTTTACAAAATAAAATAGAACAAATAAAATAGAACAGTAATTATTCCTGCATGCATTTTGATACACACAAAGTTTTTATCTCAAATTTTGAATACACGGATAAATATTTAAAAATTCTGCTAGAATAAATACAGTAAGATCTTGCTTAACGCAAGAAGTGTGTTCCTAGATGACAAAGCGCTAAACGAAACAGCTCTAAACGAGGTTATTTTAACATAGAGTAAATAGGGAAAGGGGAACACGTGACCAAAAATAAACAAATTTTACTTTAATTTCATGTTATATTATTATGCAAATTAATATAAAATATGTTAAATAACAGATAAACATATGCATGCAGAAATGCAAAGTTTATTTTTTGATGAAGGTCCTGGCTTTTTAGAATTTCTCGTTTTTTGTGATAAAGTTGTTTAGTTTCATTTGTCGCTTTCTTTTTCTTTCCTTAAGCAAATATCGGTAGCAGGAAATCACATCCAAAATGGCTTGTCTTGTTTTTGCACTCCTTTCAAAATCTGGATCATTCACTACAATTTGATCAACTATTTCAGTTATCGTTACCAAACTTTTACTAAGGAAATCTGTAGAGAAAGTTTTTGGGTTCTTCAGTTTCAGAATCTCTATTTTCCAGTTCTACAGGAATTTCTTGTTTTGCCAGTTCTTGAAGGTCGTCGTTGGTAAGGCTCTCACCAGAAACCTGCAGTGACTCCTCAATATCCTGCTCATCTATATCTAGTCCTGCTGTATAGATTAAGTTGACAATTTAGTCAATCTAATGATACAGCAATATTCTCTTCTCATTGAGAATTCTTGGATACCTCTAGCCATAACTTCTTCCACACTCTGTTTGTGCATTTATCAGTTAATTCTTGCCAAGTGAAGCCTATCGATATTGCCTATGGCATCCATGATATTATGTTTTTTCCAAAATTGCAACAAACAAACATAAATTTATGGAAAGTACAGTGCTATGACGAATTCCTTGGATGATGTCCTTTTGCTGATTGGTTCATGTTCGCAAATAATCGTATTATAAACGAATCAATCAATTGCTGCTCAAAATTTACGCTGATTCAGATAATCTGAATCAGCGTAAATTTTGAGCTTTTTTTAGGCTTTGAGCAGACTGCGTTATATTGAATTAGCATTAATTGAGACAGCATTAAGTGGGATCTTACTGTACAAATATTTCATTTAAAATTAGTTAAGAAATGAATTTTATTATTATTATTTAAAAATGATGTAATTTAGGGTACACCTGTTTTTGTTCATGCTGGTCCTTTTGCAAATATTGCTCATGGAAATTCTTCAATTCTTGCTGATAAGATTGCATTGAAATTAGTAGGTGAAGATGGATATGTAGGTAATAATGAAATTTATAAAAGTAAAATTTTTAAAACATAGTCAGCATGATGAGAGATTATACTTGGTCAATATTAACTGTGTGTATTTTAGGGAAGATAGGGTGACAAGATGAGTGAGGTGCCTACTATGGCATGCCTTTTCTCAGATTCAGTCTAGTATGTCAATCAATCTGATCGCATTCGTATGTAGTATTGTCATCATGCTGAATAAACAATTCAAACAGGACAGGCAGTGCTGAGTGTTTATTTCCACTTCTATATACAAAATTTGCAACTATATGTAGACTTTGAGACAATGTTTGAGGGTGAAGTGAAGACACGACCAAGCAAAAGCATGTTGACCAGAAGAGTGGGTTAGCCTTGGTCTTGCGTCACATAGGTTGGGAATGGTGGTCAAGTGCCATGTTGCCAACTGCTGCATGGGCTAGTTCTATGGTAATTTTGCTATGTGTTCTAGTACTTACTTTGTATGAGTTTTATCTCTGTAGCCTGGATGATAATTGGGAAAGTAAAAGTAAGGGATGGCCAGAGTGAATGTATTAGTCAGTCACACACGTTTTTACTTCAATGGAGACTGTTTTTGAGATTTTTTTTTCAAAGTAATAGTGTTTCTGTTAAATTTCTTTCTTGTCATTACCTATGTGTGTAGCAATGATTTGTGATATATAAACTTTTGTATTTGTATTGTGTAGCAATGCTTTGTATCATATAACCATTTGTATTATTTTTTATAATAAATAAACGGCCACGACGTGGTATCTTTTATCAAGCCTGCCACTTTTTGGTTCGGTATGACTTGAAATGGATCAAAGTAGTCGTGCATGATTTTTTAAACTTGTAAGGTATCCTACTCATTATCTGTGAACACATAACTTGCAACAGTGATATATTCAACAGTTTCCATCAAAAAAGTAAAGCCTTTAAATAGTCAACACTTTTATATGCACATTGCATATTATTTTTCATGCCTGTCTATTTTGGAGGGGTTACAAAGCTACACCCAGGCTACAGAGGATTCACTTTTGTTTATGTAAATGCTATCTTTGAGAAAAAATGAAGTATTATAACTGACAAAACTCGTTTAGCATAAGTACTTGCATATGTAGCAAGAGTGCTACAGAACTATCTCCTCTTGTCACCCTATCTCTTTTAAAATAGGCACAGTTAGTATTGATTAAGTACAATATCTTATTGCGCTGACTATACTGTTTAATTTATTATGTTCATTTGTCAAACAAGTAACTGTTGATGATAATTTTATAATGCTACTTTTAGTGACAGAAGCAGGATTTGGAGCTGATATTGGCATGGAAAAATTTTTTAATATAAAATGTAGATATTCAGGTCTTGTACCAAATGCAGTTGTCCTTGTTGCTACGATACGAGCTTTAAAAATGCATGGTGGTGGTTCAGCTGTTAAACCAGGCAGTCCACTTCCTAAAGAATATAATGAAGAGGTCAGTTATGAATTTATTTTATTTATTTATTTATTGAATAATTTCATATTTTTAAAATTTTATATTTTATTAGAATATGAGAGGTAATTGTAATTTACAATAAATTATAAATTGTTAAATAATTATATGGTATTTATTATTTTTTTAGAGTTTAACATATTACATAATTTTGTGGAGGAGGTTACTCACAAGTAATTCCAATGGAAGAGTTCAATCTTCATCTTACTGGTGATATACATGCAATCACTGCTGCCAATAATCTCTTAGCTGCTCAGATTGATGCACGTATGTTCCACGAAGCAACACAATCTGATGAAGTATGTTTGTTTTATGTTTATATTTTAAATAAAAATGTTTAAATTAAAAACGTTTAGCTTGAATTAGATGATTAAAATCCATTTTCTGTGGATTTTAAGTTGTAAAATGATAAAATTTATTGCAGCCCTTAGCTTCAACAACATATTATTATTAGATATTTTTAAAATATAATAGAAATTATATATATACATATACACAGTGGAACCCCGGTTAACGAACTTTTATTTTGCAAAAATTTTGTCTCGGATAACGAACTTAACGGCTTTTTGTGTCAAATTTGTAAGCTTGCTGACTTTTAGGGGAAATCAGTTAATTGTGTGTCAGTGATGATCTATGGTCCATTCGTACGTTGGTGGTGGCGGAGGAGACAAAGATGACAAGTATTTTACAGTGAAAATCGTTTATTAGAACAGGAAGATGCTTACACATTTGAGATGGTTGGAAATGGCTTATCTACAGTATTTTCTCCCGGCACTGAGGAGTGGTATATCGCTGGTCTTACGATAGTGCAAGCTGATCAGTCGTAGCCCCAATGCGGATGAGATGGGTTCACTTGGTCACAGAAGCGATGGTAGGTGACAGAGCTGCAACGACTGGTGCAGTCCGTGAGGCACAACACAAATTTTGGCGGGCATGACTTCAGGTTTAATTCAGATGAAGATGACACAGATTAATCGCCATAGAATTTTTAGGAAAACTGCATTTTGACCTTGGGATTCGGGGTTTTTATAGTATTTCTTCCTTGAATCTCACCTTACGATTAGTCCTGTGTCCCATTCCTCACTTCCCGATTGTTTTCTTCTTTGTCTCCAGGTGAAAACTGAAACCAGATCAGGTCACGAGAAAGGTTTGTTGTGAGGCATTTATTTGACATCCGTTCATCGACTCTGATCAGAGATTGTTGATAAACCTATAAACCTTTCGCTCATAATTTAGCCTATTGTTTCTGCTATCTGTCATTTTAGAACTTTAATGATTGTACGCGATGTTTTTATACATGTCAAATTGTTCCCCTTTTCCAAAAATTTAACCTAGATTGACTGTTTATGACCGCTTCTGTCAGAGTTTCATCTTCCCCACAGACATTCCACCTGATCCACCTGATCCATTACGTCATATGTTTTCGTGTCACATTTGTTTTGACAACTACAGTAAAGTTTTTTCCTTACTTTTCCCTGAACTTTGGTCTGACTTAATAATAGTGTTTTCGCTTTTAACATGTGGATATTAAATTATATTTGGTTGATGCAAAAGTTTGTCCCATTGTTTTTGAAAAGAATCAAAGAAAACCCATTTTACGAATAAAATTACAAAAATACTAACGGCTAGAACGGATTAATTGTATTTGCATTAATTTCTATGGGAAAAATTGCTTCGGTTAATGAACGGATTTGTGGAACGGATTACGTTCATTAACCAGGGTTCCACTGTATATATATTAATATATCTGTAAATTTAGATATGAAACAATAAACATTTGAATATTAGATTTAAAAAATCATTGTTTTTAGATATATGAATAAGCCATAGGAATGTTATATATATTAAAAAATATGATGTATCATAAGGAAACATATCTTTCATAATAATATTTCCAATACTATAATTTTAAATGTTTTTTCTTAGGCTTTATTTAGAAGATTGGTTTCTACAAAGAAAGGAAAACAAGAATTTACAGAAATACAAAAAGGACGATTACAGGTATTTTAAGTCAATATGATTTGATTTTTTTTATATTTAAGAATTATAATTGTAATTAAATTAACACAGATAATGCTTTTGCTATTCATATTTTGCTTTCATTAAACATAAATAAAATTGATATATTTAATGATTAAAAAAGAATTATTTAACTTTAAATAAATGACCATTAGTTTGTGATATTTGATATTAGGATTAATTTTGGAAAAAGAGGTAATAAAGTAACTTATGATAGCAAATGCTGAAAATTTTCTGCTAGTTTCATTATCTTGTACTTATTCAGGAAATTACAACTGTCGTTAAAACTAAAATCATACAGAATGCTAAGAATAGTCAACTAGATTATTGAAGGTTTAAAAAATAAAATTGCATTCATAAATATTTTTCAGACTTTGATATACTTGGAATAATTGAAACTTGGTATTAGTATTAAAATAACACTAATACCAATTTTCAATTTTAATATTAAAGGACCAATTTTATATTATTTCAGTTCCTATATGAAAATTTATTGGAATTAACTTTATTGTATCATTTGATTCTTGTACTATTTGTTTAATGTATCTCAGTTCTATATTATAACATAAGTATCAACCCATGGATAACCAGTCTTTAAGTTATTATTTACATTTTAACAAGATTTTTATTTTTATAAATGTTTTTATTTCAGAAATGAATTTTGTTGTTTGATTGAAAATTTATAATTAATGTTATTTATTTTTATATATACTTTATTATGTGATATTTTTGCATTTTGTATATAACTTTATTATTATCCATGTAAAAGTGTTTAAAAGTAAATTAAAATTAAAGAATGAACAATATTTAACAAATTCCTCTTGTTCTATTAAGAAAATAACTGATGAAAAGCAAATCTTACTGTATGAGATCAGTAATTTTAGCTTATTCTTATATATTATACAATGTAAGTCATTAATTAAGAATATATAATAAATAAATTTTTTCTATTGTATTTTATTTTTTTACAAAGAAATTAGGCATAAAAGCTACAAATCCAAAAGATTTGACAAAAGATGAAATAAAGCGATTTGCAAGATTAGACATTGATCCATCTACTATCACTTGGCAAAGAGGTAATAAATAGGAAATGTACCATAGAACAATTACAAAATCTTAAGTTGTCTTTTTGAGAAATATTTGAAGAATAATGTTTTATGTAATGAGTAATAAATAATGTAATTAGCATGATATTTAGCCTTATTATACTCTGTAACATTTTTGTACATGTACAAATATAATGATGATAATATTTTTATATGTATGTACAGTACATGGGCATCCATAGAGGCAGTGAGGGGGCAAAGCTTGGAGACAAGTAATTACATCAATTAATTTTTATTTAATTTTTTGGGGTATTTTTTCACAAGTACATTACAGTATTGCTTCAAAATGTCCATGGCTGAGGGTGTAAGATTATATATCTCAAGATTATAGTTTGTGAAATTTTTTACTTGATCTCAGATAGGGGCAAATGTTCCTTTTGCCTCCTCTGTGGACACCCATATGTATGTATGTATGTATGTATTAATAATAATAATAATAATAATAAACTTTTTAAATGTAAAGTTATAGATACGAATGACAGGTTTCTCCGTAAAATAACAATTGGACAATCACCTACAGAAAAAGGAAAGATAAGAGAGGTAATTGTAATTTACAATAAATTATAAATTGTTAAATAATTATATGGTATTTATTATTTTTTTAGAGTTTAACATATTACATAATTTTGAAATACAAAATATTTTTGAATTTTTGTTACTTATTTAATATTTAAATTATGATTGTTTTAAAGACTCAGTTTGACATTACTGTTGCAAGTGAAATTATGGCAATTCTTGCTTTAACAACTGATTTAAGTGATATGAGAGAGAGATTTAAACGTATTGTTGTAGCTAGTAATAAAGAAGGTTATCCAATAACAGCTGAAGATTTGGTAAGCATTAGTTTTTATCTATTATATGTTACATTCAGTATTGTACAGTTTATAAAATTTTTAGGGTGTATTTGGAGCTTTAACAGTATTTATGAAAGATGCAATTAAACCAAATTTGATGCAAACGCTTGAGGTAAGAAACAGTAGAATTTTAAAATTATATTATAATTACTGCTGAAAATATGTTAATATGTTATTTTATCAAAATATGCTGTATTTTTTTCTTTATAAATTTTTAATTTTAAAAATTGTAGGTTTGTGTATTTGTATTTATATTTATATATATACAGTTTTTCTCCTAAAACTTTAAAAAAGCCAAAGAATGTTTTTGATTAGTATTTGTTACCTATAAATCTTATTTTTACCTTTTAATCTTTGAAATAAAACGTTTTGATTTCAAAAATAAGTTTGAAAATAGATTATTATAATGTCTTCAGTAAAGTATTAGCCTACCATTATGGCAGATCTAGATGTAAATTTGATTTCTACATTCATAAATTTTTTAAAACTACTTTGGGTTAGATTATTGTTTACATCTGTTTCCATATTTTTCAACTATGCTGAAGATCCATATAGTCTTGTATACCTTGTGCCAATAAAAAAATTTAAATAAAATTAGATATAATTTTATATTCCATTTAGTATCCTTACATTTTGTTCACTTTTAGCTTTATTGAAATGTTGTAATAGAATTTCTCAGTTAATAAATGATTTTTGTAATTACTTTACAAAATAAAATAGAACAAATAAAATAGAACAGTAATTATTCCTGCATGCATTTTGATACACACAAAGTTTTTATCTCAAATTTTGAATACACGGATAAATATTTAAAAATTCTGCTAGAATAAATACAGTAAGATCTTGCTTAACGCAAGAAGTGTGTTCCTAGATGACAAAGCGCTAAACGAAACAGCTCTAAACGAGGTTATTTTAACATAGAGTAAATAGGGAAAGGGGAACACGTGACCAAAAATAAACAAATTTTACTTTAATTTCATGTTATATTATTATGCAAATTAATATAAAATATGTTAAATAACAGATAAACATATGCATGCAGAAATGCAAAGTTTATTTTTTGATGAAGGTCCTGGCTTTTTAGAATTTCTCGTTTTTTGTGATAAAGTTGTTTAGTTTCATTTGTCGCTTTCTTTTTCTTTCCTTAAGCAAATATCGGTAGCAGGAAATCACATCCAAAATGGCTTGTCTTGTTTTTGCACTCCTTTCAAAATCTGGATCATTCACTACAATTTGATCAACTATTTCAGTTATCGTTACCAAACTTTTACTAAGGAAATCTGTAGAGAAAGTTTTTGGGTTCTTCAGTTTCAGAATCTCTATTTTCCAGTTCTACAGGAATTTCTTGTTTTGCCAGTTCTTGAAGGTCGTCGTTGGTAAGGCTCTCACCAGAAACCTGCAGTGACTCCTCAATATCCTGCTCATCTATATCTAGTCCTGCTGTATAGATTAAGTTGACAATTTAGTCAATCTAATGATACAGCAATATTCTCTTCTCATTGAGAATTCTTGGATACCTCTAGCCATAACTTCTTCCACACTCTGTTTGTGCATTTATCAGTTAATTCTTGCCAAGTGAAGCCTATCGATATTGCCTATGGCATCCATGATATTATGTTTTTTCCAAAATTGCAACAAACAAACATAAATTTATGGAAAGTACAGTGCTATGACGAATTCCTTGGATGATGTCCTTTTGCTGATTGGTTCATGTTCGCAAATAATCGTATTATAAACGAATCAATCAATTGCTGCTCAAAATTTACGCTGATTCAGATAATCTGAATCAGCGTAAATTTTGAGCTTTTTTTAGGCTTTGAGCAGACTGCGTTATATTGAATTAGCATTAATTGAGACAGCATTAAGTGGGATCTTACTGTACAAATATTTCATTTAAAATTAGTTAAGAAATGAATTTTATTATTATTATTTAAAAATGATGTAATTTAGGGTACACCTGTTTTTGTTCATGCTGGTCCTTTTGCAAATATTGCTCATGGAAATTCTTCAATTCTTGCTGATAAGATTGCATTGAAATTAGTAGGTGAAGATGGATATGTAGGTAATAATGAAATTTATAAAAGTAAAATTTTTAAAACATAGTCAGCATGATGAGAGATTATACTTGGTCAATATTAACTGTGTGTATTTTAGGGAAGATAGGGTGACAAGATGAGTGAGGTGCCTACTATGGCATGCCTTTTCTCAGATTCAGTCTAGTATGTCAATCAATCTGATCGCATTCGTATGTAGTATTGTCATCATGCTGAATAAACAATTCAAACAGGACAGGCAGTGCTGAGTGTTTATTTCCACTTCTATATACAAAATTTGCAACTATATGTAGACTTTGAGACAATGTTTGAGGGTGAAGTGAAGACACGACCAAGCAAAAGCATGTTGACCAGAAGAGTGGGTTAGCCTTGGTCTTGCGTCACATAGGTTGGGAATGGTGGTCAAGTGCCATGTTGCCAACTGCTGCATGGGCTAGTTCTATGGTAATTTTGCTATGTGTTCTAGTACTTACTTTGTATGAGTTTTATCTCTGTAGCCTGGATGATAATTGGGAAAGTAAAAGTAAGGGATGGCCAGAGTGAATGTATTAGTCAGTCACACACGTTTTTACTTCAATGGAGACTGTTTTTGAGATTTTTTTTTCAAAGTAATAGTGTTTCTGTTAAATTTCTTTCTTGTCATTACCTATGTGTGTAGCAATGATTTGTGATATATAAACTTTTGTATTTGTATTGTGTAGCAATGCTTTGTATCATATAACCATTTGTATTATTTTTTATAATAAATAAACGGCCACGACGTGGTATCTTTTATCAAGCCTGCCACTTTTTGGTTCGGTATGACTTGAAATGGATCAAAGTAGTCGTGCATGATTTTTTAAACTTGTAAGGTATCCTACTCATTATCTGTGAACACATAACTTGCAACAGTGATATATTCAACAGTTTCCATCAAAAAAGTAAAGCCTTTAAATAGTCAACACTTTTATATGCACATTGCATATTATTTTTCATGCCTGTCTATTTTGGAGGGGTTACAAAGCTACACCCAGGCTACAGAGGATTCACTTTTGTTTATGTAAATGCTATCTTTGAGAAAAAATGAAGTATTATAACTGACAAAACTCGTTTAGCATAAGTACTTGCATATGTAGCAAGAGTGCTACAGAACTATCTCCTCTTGTCACCCTATCTCTTTTAAAATAGGCACAGTTAGTATTGATTAAGTACAATATCTTATTGCGCTGACTATACTGTTTAATTTATTATGTTCATTTGTCAAACAAGTAACTGTTGATGATAATTTTATAATGCTACTTTTAGTGACAGAAGCAGGATTTGGAGCTGATATTGGCATGGAAAAATTTTTTAATATAAAATGTAGATATTCAGGTCTTGTACCAAATGCAGTTGTCCTTGTTGCTACGATACGAGCTTTAAAAATGCATGGTGGTGGTTCAGCTGTTAAACCAGGCAGTCCACTTCCTAAAGAATATAATGAAGAGGTCAGTTATGAATTTATTTTATTTATTTATTTATTGAATAATTTCATATTTTTAAAATTTTATATTTTATTAGAATATAGAATTATTAAAGAAGGGCTTTTGCAACCTGGAGAAACAAATTAGTAACGCAAGGAAATTTGGCATTCCAGTTGTAGTAGTAATTAATCGTTTTTTGTAAGTACAATTTTAAAAATTTATGACAAATTCAATAATGTTAAGAATTTGATTTTCATATAACTATTACATGAAAAATATTAAAATTTTAGGATTCTTTTTGAATATTTTTGTTTTGCCTACATCTTTTCAATTCAACTAGTTTAAATATTTTTATCTGCTTATCTGAGAGAAAGTTCCTTATTCTTGGTTATAGTGTTTATATAAAAAAAATTTATCTGAACTCTAATATTATTTAAACATCTTAATGTAGAGGACGTGGTTGCTGTATCATCAAATGCAGTGTGTAGCATCTGTGTAATCCAAAACGAGTTGGTAGACGAACGGACAGCAATTGGTTAGAAAACGTACGTTTTCTAACCAATTGCTGTCCGTTCATCTACCAACTCGTTTTGGATTACACAGACGCTACACACTGCATTATTTAAACAGTTTGTTATGAAGCATTCTATTAGTTTTAAGAACCCAAATATACCGTATTTTTTGTTTTTTCATATCTCTTTAATATCAGTACTTGGCAGGTATGTATGTATCCAGAAGGGATGCTTATGGTGCTGTAGCACTTCTTGATACTTATAAAGTTTTGTTACTTTAAAATAAAAATAAACTTAATAGTGCATATCACATAAATTTCAATTAGGTCAGATTAAGTAACTAAAATAATTCTAATTGAGTAGCATTCTCTGAAAAATGACAGGAGGCAAGACCCTTGGTCTCCCAATCTTCACCCAAATTCTGGATACACCACTGGTGTATGGCATGTGAAATATATTTCTTTTATGTTTCTATTTTGCAAATTTTGAAATGATCACATAGTAACATACATTTTTTTTTGCATTTATACTGTATTAATTTCATCATGAACATGGATTCATGATGAAATTAATACAGTAGAATAGAGGAAAGAACTTCAAAAATAACAGTTTCTGTAAAGTAAACAGATATATAAATTTTCTAAATCTGTTTACAAATTATTTGTAAACTGATACAAGAAATATATATATATATTGTCGCGGGAACAACGGCAATCAGTTATTAGGAACACAAAGGTATTTATTAACTCAGACAATGTACAACTCCTGCAGCTTGCAGTATGAGAACAAGACACTCTCTCAACCTGAGAGCTGGCTATTATAGCCTACAGAGGCATGGTAGAAACACGGTAATCAGTTAGTATTTACATATGTTCTCAGACTGGGAGAACGTACCCACAACAAAAAGATTGTGCATCAATGAGGTTTGAACTGGAGACCTTTGCTTGATAGGCAAAGCCGCTAACCTCTAACCCATGAATGACACGGTGGGACAAGCGAGCCGCGGCAATATTATATTCAATAGTGGATCCAGAAGTACCCAAAAGGGGCAGCTAACTCAAAAATTAAACATATTTGAATAATTAACAAGTGTATTTTATTAACATGTGCATGATAATTGTATTGTAGGCATCTGATAAACCATATTTGCCATCATAAATGTTTTTAAAATAAAGTCTCACTTCGATAATTCACTTTATGGTCCAATTTATTTTCACAACTGGCATAAATTTTTTGTTATGACTATCTCAAAATTAAACAAAAATTGGCATCATATTTAAGTTCAATAAAAAGTAATCTGTTTGTTTAAGGAAATGTAACATTTTTTGGTCTAGCATTAACTAATGATATATGACTAAAATATTTGTTTTAGTTGGATACCTATTTAGCCTGGGGCACAACATATCAGGGACAAAATGTCTATGAAAAATTTGAGGTTGCTTGCCCATATTTAATCCTGGGCCTTATAATATACTATTAACAATGTTAATATTGTTATATTGGCCATTGTTAATAGTATATAATAATAATACAATAAGTTGTTTAATTTTTTCATTGAAAAGTACGAAAAATTATTTATATATTGTAGGTTTGTATGATAATTAGTGATGTAACAAATATTCGGTTACTATTCGGTATTTGGCCGAATACCTAAAAACAGGAGTAATAAATAACAAAAACACAGTAAATTAATCATTTTGGTATTTAGATTTAATGTTATCAAGTTAGTGTTGTTTGTTTATATTTATTTATAACTTGTAACATGCACAAAATAAAAAAGAAAATAATATTAGTCACATCTATTCACAATTTACAATTACAAAGATTAGCACATGTACACATCTATCGTTGGAGAATCCTCACACATCTGAGGGTCTGACCCTGCCTATCCTTCTTTTTAAGCGCTCGTCTTTGCTCTTCCCTTTCTCTTTCCTCCATCGCTCTAATCCATGTATGCCAGTGCATACATCATAATATGTGCTCATGATACTTTCGTCACTTTTCTGTCGTAGAGTTCCCATTTTACAATTACATGACTCAGTCTGGTGATAACGGAGAAAAGAGACATAGGACATCGATATAAGTCACGGTTATGATTTCACAGATTCGAGACAGCTTGATAGCCCAAACGGCCCCAGGCTTTCGCCTATGCACGCTAAGTGACTTTCATTACAAGCATTTAGCTTTCCGAAGTCTATGACAACAATTGTTTGGCATTGACGGCTGTGAATTTTGTGCCAATAAGCTGCCTCGACTTGTTTGATTATGTTATCAACTCAATTTCATATTTATTTTTGTATTTTCACTTCGCAGTCCTTCTCTGTTCTTTTTCCGTTATTTACACGTGTAGGTTATTTCATTGTTATCCACATTTGATATCATCATTTATCACATACTGCCATGACACTCTTGTCTGTCCGCTACAACTGCCAAGAATTAACGCGCTTGGCAAAGCGTAGTGACAGTGGGCCAATAGAGAGCAGGATCCTTGCCATAATGCAGTTTTTGCACCAATTTTCATACGTGCATTAATCAAGCCGAATAGTTTGGCCAAATATTCAGCTATTCAGCCACACTCCTGGCCGAATATTCAGTATTCGGCCAGGAGTGTGGCCGAATAGCTGGTGATAACGGAGAAAAGAGACATAGGACATCGATATAAGTCACAGTTATGATTTCACAGATTCGAGACAGCTTGATAGCCGAAACGGCCCCAGGCTGAGGCCAAATATACTATTCGTTACAACACTAATGATAATAGAATGTCAAATGAAAATAGTCTGTTTATTTTTTAACTGTATGAAGTAGTTTAAAGAATGCCTGCAGAAATTTTAATACAGTATTTTCATTATATAAAACTTATCAAATTAATTAATTTTTCCTCAAAATTACAATATTTAAAAATTTTTATTAAACACATATTTTTAATTTTTAGAACTGATACAGATAATGAAGTTGAATTAATAAAACAGTTATCAAAAGAAAATGGAGCCTTTGATGCAGTAGAAAGCAATCACTGGGCGATAGGAGGACCTGGAGCAATTGACCTGGCTAAAGCAGTCATTAATGCTGCTAATCAAGATTCTGATTTCAAGTTTCTTTATGATCTTAAGGTAATTATTTAATAACTTATTTTAATTTTAAATTTCTTATGTAATAAGTTTTGTATGTAAATTTCTAGCTGTACAGTAGTACAACTAGAAATTTAGCAAGGGGTGCAGCTAAAAATCTTAAGTATCAAATGTTGTTTGAATAAAACTGTAATACACAAATTATATAGCATATATGTTTGGTTTATAGCAATCAAATCTAGTATATAAATCATAATTACATGAAATTACTGGACAAATCACATACACAGGTTTGAGTCATTAGTTGTATATGAATATGAAAGGGAAAAATAATGTTGATAATGTTACTAAATATTCAAAGACTTACAGGTTCTATGGTTTAAATTTATATTTATGTAGTGACTGGTTTTAGTTTACTTTTAAACTTGTATATAAACAAATTTCAATTGGATATTAAAAAATGGATATTAGTAGCAGGTGGTGCATGGCACTCCTTGCACCCTCTGGCTGCAGCTATGATGTACTGTAGTATATGTTCTCTTACTTAGAAGTAATGAAAATATTAAAGAAAATTATCATCAGATTTATAAAAATTCATTAATGTAATAAATAATTTATATTATTATTTATTAAAAGAAACAACTATTTAATATATAATTTTTAGAACTTTCTTGAGTATAATTTAATAAATTAGACTAGTAATTTGATAAATCCATTCATTAAACTACATAGAATATTATTGTACATCAGATTCTATTTTGTCTAATTATTGTTTATCACAAAACACCTTTTTTCCATAAATTTAGTTTAAAATATTTTGTTAAAAATATCTTTAGAACTCTTAGCTCTATCTTCAGTTTTAAAATAACTTAGTTTCATATAAAATATTTAATCATATGAAAATAACAGATAATATACTTTATTCTTATGCTGTAGAATGACATATCTAGCTTACAATTGTTGGAGACTGAGGTTCAAACCTAATAGAATGGGCTATCTCTCTTCCATACTAATCAACCTTATTTTAGCCAAACCTGCCCATGATGGACAAGCATGTGGCTTGCTATACAACTTCATGTATGAGAAGTACTGGCATATTAATCAATTAGTGACATATATTTATAAATATATAACTATTTAAACAATTTCAATAGTTTTAAGCTACATATATATATATATATATATAATCATTTGATTCATTATTTTTTTGTATAATTTTTACATTTTAACAATGATTTATCTTAATAGCTTCCAATTGAAGATAAAATAGAAATTATTGCTAAAGAGATATATGGAGCAGATGGAATAGAGTTATTAGAAGAAGCAAAAATAAAAATTGACAGATACAAAAGACAAGTAAGTTACATAGAAGACAATAAGTTACAAGAAGAATATTATAAAAATGTATTTCCTGCTAATTTAGAAACATGCACTAAAACTCAAGTTCAAATTAATGGAATAACCTTTCAGATGAAAAATTGTAAAAAAGCAAACTTAAGTTTCTGCATTAAAAAACAAACTCTTAAAAATTTTAAGAGAATTTAATAATTTTAAATTGTGAAACTTTTATTAAGAAAATTTTACCTTTAATATATTTTTAGCTTGGAATTTTTCATGGAAGATATCTCAACTATCTTTTAAAATATATTAAAATTTAACAATTTCAAAAGCAGTAATTGATAACTTAAAACTCAGGAGATTATAATGGGTCAAATCTTTTCTTCCAGAAATTCTAAATTAAAAATTAGCATGAGATGACAGCTTAACTACCTACCTGTAGACAAATTACTTCGTATCTGATTATTAAATTAGTCCAATTGAAGTCTGATAATTTGGCAGATTGTCTAGCTTTGATTATAATGTTAAAATTCTAAAATGATTGTTGATTTGTAGTACTTGTCCTTAATTACTTATCACTTTTATTCACTTTAGACATTCTTATGAATTAGGACTTGTTATACTGAGGGAAGAGAAACTCACATTTTCCAATTAAATATATTTATTGTAATGTAATCTTGTCAAGAAGTCCTAATTCAAAAGAATGTCCAAAGTGGACAAAAGTATAATTCTGAAATGATTAATTCTAATCAAAGTATTTTTTTTCTGGATTAACCAGAAATTGATAATATTTAAAACAGAACTTTTTAGGCAGAAAGCTTTCAGAGTGCAGAAGTTTTCAAAGTACTATATTATGTGAAAGATTTTGTAACTACTACATACTAATTAAGTATTAAAATTATTAAATTTTTTTTTATATTAATATACAATTAAGACTATGTAAATGAGTCTTTCAATATCCTTTCTCACACTTTAGGAAAATAACAATCTTATGGCGGAATCAACTTTTTATTACAGGTGTGATGATAGGTGCAAAATGAGTTACAAAGATACGTTATAACATAAATATCTTTATTTCGCATACAAAAAAATCGATTCTTTGGAATGCCAGCTCCTCTCAGACCCAATACACACGTATATAACCTGAGCCATACAAATCTTGATATAACACATCGTTATTGACTCTATTATTGTGACACTACAAATTACCGAATATGATATATTTACAACAAATATACAACAAACTACAACTAAGTGCTTACAACTAAGTAAATCTAAGTAAGAATAGAGTAAGTAGACTGAAACAGGAAATTGAGTAGGAATAGAGGGTACCTAGTTATAGAGGAAAGTGGGTACCTAGTTTTCAATGGTGATCTTGGGGTGGTGAATTTCCAGAGCTTTTCTTCCTCGGGTCGATTGATGGTCCTTGTTCTTGTTTAATTTTCTTGAATGATGGTCTGGATATTTCAAAGATCTCTCTTGACTGAAGTTTTCAATATTATTTCTCAGGTCTTCTTTCATCTCTATATGCTCCCAAAATGCACTAGAGAGCACACTTCATCGGTCCGGTCCTATCAAAGTCCCCACCATGAATGACCACCAACTTAGCCCTCAGGGCATCATTCCTTTCTCTTGTTCTCAGGATTAGTTATCACCACCCAAGGAGAAAAAATTAAAGAAAGAACATTCTGGAAAGGATAGACAAAGAAACAAAGAAAGAAAGAAAACTATACAAAATTATTATAAATATACATACATACATACATACAACATGTCAGAATGCCACACAGGCTACTCATTCACCTCACTATGCAAAATGTTACAAAATTTCTTCCAACACTCGTTTGTATAGTCTTAATTATGTATTAATTTTACAATTATAGTCCTGACCATTTTATCAAATTCTTTTGATGTTAAATTTATATTCAAATTCTCTCACCATTTTTTTACAACTAGTATCATTAATTCAGATTATCAATATTCTTATTCTAATTTTAGAATTATTTATTATTATAAATAATGATTTGACAAAGGTACTATAATAAGCTATCAGTTTATTAATCATGGTTTGCATATAATTCAGAATCTCACAATATCATGGTTAGTAGAGGTTGGGGTATCATTTTCCATTTCTTATTCATGCTGGCCAACCCCATTAAAAATCAAACTTATCTGTAATAGCAAAATTTTGGCCATCTATATAATGTTAATGCCTTGCATTGATCAATTGATTATTTTAATTAAATAAAGAAAATCTTTTCAGAATCACCTTAAAAGCACCTCTTATATTCTGTCTGATATATTCATTTTTATCGGAATTTTTAAAAGATAATTATTGATGGTTAATTAATTAAGAAGTCTTCATCCATTTATAATGAAAATAAACTGTATTATTATAGTAATATTCCAATATTGAAGATAATATTTTACATATATGAATAAACACTTGAAAATGAATAAATATGCTGTTTTTTGATTTTAAGGGATTCAATGATTTTCCAATTTGCATGGCAAAGACTCATTTATCCTTATCTGATGATCCAAATGCTAAAGGTACACCAAAAGGGTTTGTTCTTCCCATACGAGACATCAGAGCGAGTGTCGGAGCAGGATTTTTATATCCATTAGTTGGTACAGTAAGTATAAAAACCAGTTTATGTATTGATATATTATATAAGAATTATTTGAAATTTGGAACCATGTTCAAAGTTCAAGAACTTAAGAAATTTTTATAAATTTCTTAAATACTTTTTATAAATTAAAAAAACTTCCTATCTAAATTTCAGTTTTTGTTTGTTATTCTTTTGAATTTTACAACTTTAATTATTTTAGATTTTCATATTTAAATTATTCTAATCATGACTGTTAATTTTAAGTTCTATTTTTAACTTTTTAATTTTGTTCCATTTAAAGACCTTTAAATGTAAATTATGTTAAATTCAACTATCAGTTATATTTTGTAATTGTTCAATGTTCTGCATAAAGAGTTTGTGATAGACTAGATAGATTTGAAAATGTTTCTTTTCAAATAAATCTATTGGTTTCCTCAACTTAGTAGTTTATTTGTTGAATTTTGAACATGGTGACAAATCTTTGATTAAAAAAAAAGTCATAATGTCAGACAAGTTATAATGGAGGAGGGCATATACCATTTGTAAGAGTAAATAACTCATATTTTTAAACCAATCCCAATTAAACAGAGTCACTCTCATGAGTACTTTTATAATATCTCTACCAAGGACTGTCATAGAATAAAGAAATTTATATGGTACAAATGTTTTACAAGTTCTCATCTCTAACAAAAGGAGAAACATATTTTTTGGATTAGGCCTAAACTAACACATGCTACAGAAAAAAATCAATTATATACTATTGCAAATGTTTGATTTTTAGAATATCTTCAGGAGGATATGGATGGAAGACTGTTAGCTATACAAGTGAGCTTGCAATAAAATAACAGAACATCTTAAATAAATAGCAGTAATTTAACACGAAAATGTTGAAAATGTTTTCATATTAAATTACTGTATTGCTTTTTAAAAACATTTTCAAAAGCAATAATTTTTAGCTGGATGAAAAACTTTTGAAAATGTTTTCAAAAGTTCTTCATCAGACTAAAAGGTTTTGAATCACAATGGAAAGGAATATAGATTCAAATCCAAAGTTTGAATATTACAAAATTTATGGAATGATCTGATTGGAGCTCATAATGTAAATTGATTATAATGTAACCAAGCCGTTAAGCCATGCTGAGATCAATTATTACATGTGACAAATCAAAATAAATTAAGATAAAGGCTCAACAGGGACTTTATTTTAATTATAGAGAAGCCAGGCATATATAACATAGGCATAACAGATAACAGGATTGGCAAAAGAGTAGAATACATAGGTGCATATATGCAAGAAATTGAGTTTGCCAAATGTTGCTTACATCAGATGGCAATTAGCTACAAAGATTAAACAACAGTATATGAAAAAAAGGTCACAAGACCAAACTATTGCAATTTTGTGTAGATCAGCTAAGAAATGGTGCATAGAAAATGATATAATGTGCCTATATTCTGATAAGAGTAGTTTACTTATCTTCAGGAGTGTGTGCGTATTCAAACAGAAGATACAGGACTATCTGCACATTACAGATTCTAAACAATTGAACAAAGATACTACTACATCATCATCATATACCATTGTGTTGTCAATGGCCCTTCTATCACTACTAGGTGTAACTATTATAAAAGATTGCAACCCCAAACAGCAGTGGAAACAGTATATTACTCAACAGTAAAGACTGCATCAAGATTTCCTACCAATCTTAGAGCAGCCTGAGTGTAGTATGTTAAACTCTTTAATGACTTCTTGCTGACTGTGGACTCCTACCACTAAAATAACAAGTTTATCCCTTCTTACTTACTGCCATGTTTTACCAGGAAAAGATTAAACAAAGATGAATAAAACTCTGTACTCTTCCAGACTTGTAGGACACTATGTATGTACATATATTTTTTCCCCTTAAATATATATCAGAAATTTTAAATATGAAATGGAAATTCCTGTATACTGTAGTAGTGTTTGTTACTAATCTTTTATAATGTATATGGGTTCACAGAATTTTTTTTTAATCAGTAGAATCATCATCTGTGTAGCTCATAAATTACCTCCTGTATGACCATGAAAATTTCAATTCAAATTTCACTTGTTTTAGATATAATTTATAAATTTTTAATACAAATCATTGAAGAGAAAAAAGATATAATCATGAATGCTTCATTTGAGTATCAAAATTAATGAAAAGAATTTAAAAAAAAAAAAATATATTAATTTGGATATATAAGTCATAAATTAAGTAATTATTTATAAAATAAAATATAGAAACACATTTTAACCTTTTATATTTTTTGTTATAAAATTATTGTATAGACTCCTAAGGAAATTTCAAGTTTAATTCTTACTGATATTTGTTGTATCTTCTCTTATTACTATGTTACCTTGGCAAGTTATGAAATGATACTCTGTAATAGAATACTTTTTCATATAATTTTCCAAATGATTTCCCCACATGACAAGTTATCTATCATTTTACGCTTTTAGAGTGGCATTTTCTTTTATCGTCTACTTATTGAATATTCCTACTTTAATTTACGTCGAACAAGTGCAAATTTTGTTTATTATTCTATCAGATAATTCAATTCTTTACTGAATTGAATTAGAGGAAAATAAAACCCCTCATTTTTTTTATTTTTTTTATTAGATGACCCGTAATAAAAATCTTTGCTTGTAGGATTGAATCTTCCATTAAAAATCTTGATAATTTATGAATGGTCTTTTCTGAGGACTGGCGCATTCCAATGTGGATTAAATTCCTAGAGTTGAAATTTTACTAGGATTTTAAGTTAGATATTGCCTGGATTTTAGGCTAGAGTATTATATATATACTACAGGATCTTGTTACATTTCTGAATGCCATATAAATTTCCAAAATTCATTGTCCTGTTTTTTTTGTTTTACAGTAAGGAATGAGAGATTATTTTCCATATACAAGATTCCAATCAGTTTTGGAAAATCATTTAATGCTTATTTTGTAATTAGGAAAGTTATTTATAATTGTTGATACTACTATGCATATGTAGCTAGAACTATTTCTAAGATTATCAGCTGATAAATTGTACATTAATCGTGTACATTAAATAATGTTTTAAAATCATTTCCAGATGAGTACCATGCCGGGATTGCCCATCAGACCCAGCTTTTACGATATCGATTTGAATATAGAAACCGAAGATGTGGAAGGTTTATTCTGAAAGGTATCAAGTTTACTAATTTGCACACAAATTAAATGGAGCAATTTTTGTTTGCATGTGTTTGTAAAAAAATAATTAAAAAAAAAATTACTTTTCTAAAATAAAATTCTGTTACTAATATGATGATTTGTTGAATATGATTAATCGAAAGTAAAACTTTTATACTTTGTTCTATGACTAAGTATATATTGCATATATATTTAATATCTGAGATTATATTTTAAAATTCCTTACTTGTTAGTAAATTTTTATTTATTTTATATCCTGTTTGAAAAAATTTCAACATAATTGGGATTTGTGAAATTAAGAATCTGAGGGGGTAAAGTCCATTTTTGACTGTCTGAATTGTTTATCACTGGAATGTATTTGACTACACATTCTTCTTTTTTAAATTGTAACTTAACTTTTTTTTTTTAATTTTTTTGCCATTAATCTACAGCAAGTTTGTTACTTTAACGCTGAAAACGTCAGTTGAAGTTTTAATTAATTTAAAACATGTTTAGACTTAATTGAATGAATGTAGAATACTTTATGCATCACTGACAGAATTTTCTGCTTTAATTTTACAAAAAGCCCCATGTTACAGGACGAAATTATCATAGAACTAATTTCCACAGCCCACGAAGTGCATAAAACACTAAACACTGGTTGTGTGGGCCGATCACGTGGAGTTTTCCGGGGTTTTCACGTGTCTAACATGTAAATATGACTAATTATCTATTTAAAGTCCTCTCTGGGAGCAATCACAATCGTAGATTGCCCACATGTTGCATTGCCTTATCCCATTGATTCAATCCAATCTATTAATAATTTTGGCAACTTCAAATTTGCTACGGTATTAAATGTCTTTTTAAAATAATTCCGTAATTAAATTAGAGTAAATTATTATAATGAATTTAATACGTTAATAATAATTTCTTTTTCTGTCGGTAATGCCATTCAGAATAACAATACTTCATTTTATAACACAGCCTTTATTGACGGGAAGTGATTCGCAGAATGTAGCAAACATCAAATTCCAATGTAAATTGCTAAAGAAATGAATCACAATTACGAGCAAATGTAGAATTAATTTAATTTGTAATATTCGTGGAATGGAAGTTTAAAAGAAGCAGTTCTAATAGATGTAAATGTTTACCGCAACGCGATAAGTGGGCGATGCCTCCCGGGAGGCCTTTTTTTGGATAAAAGGCCCGTGTTTAGGTTGTTACTAACGTGAAGAAAACCCGAAAAACTACGTTGCCGGCCCGTTGACCAAGCTCGAACCCACGACCAGTGTTTGATGGTTTTATCTACTCGGCCACTGGTGGGCGTTAATGTTTGGATTCGGAGCCACATATCACTTCTGGGGAACTAAAATTACAGTTTTTTTAAAGAAGAAATTCATAGATTTATTTCACTAAATGTGTAATAAGATTCATTTAAACCGAATATTCAAAAGAGAAAGGAGAGAAGGAAAAACTAAAGCTGGCAAGGGGTCTTGCTAGACTTTCCTGGCACTCGAATAAGAGGTAAGGGTGCCATTAGGAAGACCGATAACTTCCAATTATACTATAATATAAAATTTAAATAATAACAAAGGTTAAGAAAAGTAATTTTGTTGAATTTTTTTTTAACTAAGCACAAAGTTAAAATTGTGTGTGGCGCCATCTGTTACGATATTTTATCAAAAATTAATTTTTACATTATTATAAAAAGGTAAGAAAGGCTACAGATGCATTTTTTTTTTTTTTTAATTTGTTGAATGCCAATAACGGTTAAAATTCTTATTAAGTACGACCCCACTGGAGATATGCAATGGGTGCAGAGGTGGGCGAACCTATGGCACGCGTGCCCAAAGTGGCACGTCGAAGAAATCAGCACGTAACGTATTATACGATATCGGTTTATCATCTTTTTCAATCAGTTCTTTACATTACTGTAATTACAGCATATTTATTTATTTAAATATAGTTTTTTAAAACTCTCTTTACCCTGTGGGCACTAAGAGGGCTTTTTTATTTAGCGAACTCCAAATGGAACAGTCGGATGGTTGAAGAATGGATCACCACCTGAAAATTTTCTGGGGTTTTGATCTCGGGTCCACAAGAGTGATAAGCTACCACTTTGACCGCTCGGCCATTTCGCCAAATTTAAATATAGTTACTAGAAGTCTAAAACTTCTGCACGCATAATCATTTTTAAAGAAAAGTATGCTTAATATGCTTACTATGTGGCACATAGACTCAAAAAGGTTCGTCATCCCTGGCCTAGTGGATTAAACCACTAAGCACTGGTGGCGGTGGGTTTACGTCTGGCCGCCAACGGACTTGTCACGCGGAGTATTCCGGGTTTTATTCCTAAATAGGAGTCGGTTTTCCATAAAATTCCCTCGACAGATCGCCCGCGAGTTGCGTTTCCGTATACATTAACACGAGATATACGACCAGGGCCATCGAGAGGGAGGGAAAGCTGGGAATTTTTCCCTGACTCGGAGGAAACTTAGGGGTTAAAACAGCTAAGGGCCTCTATGAATTAATGTTATTTTCATTAGTAAAAATAACCACTACCGAAAAATTACTGAGGTCGCTGGTTGGGATTCGATTTCGGATCTCCCAAAGTGGTAGGCAATGAATGTTTACTATAGAAGTAATGAGAGACTCAGTCGCATTCCGAGCATGTTGCCGAAGATTTGAATACAGCTCAAGATTATAAATTATCGTGTTTGACTAATATTTAATGACGGCCGGATGGCCGAGGCGGTTAAGGAGGAATCCAGTATGAAAACTGGAAATTTTTTACGGGCAGTCTGCCCCTACCATTTTCCATCGTGGGCTTGGACCGAGTCCCATCTATTAATAGAGAGATTGCGGCCGACTTTTTCACCCCAAAACGTGAACGTCGGACGTCGAGCGCCGCCATCTGGCAATTCTAGAAGGTTGATAATGGCGTTGGCTACGTCTAGCATGGGGAGTAGACGATCGGTTTAAACTTCTTCATTTTTTTGTGTTTGGAGTTAAAATTATGACGTATTTTTTTAAAATAATAATTATTTAAGCATTTATGAATAATATTATAAAGAAACACGATTTTAATCCAGAAATGATTTAATTATTCAATTTTTTTTGCAAGTGATATGAAGTACCTATAGAATTTACTTATATTTNTATTTAAAAATAAATGAATGATATCCAATTTATTCGTAATATATGAAAATTGTTTTGCTTCAATGATAAATCAACGATACTAGCTCAAATATTTCTATAAAATATGGTGACTTATGCAAATTTATTGTTGTTGGTTAAGTTACGGCAACGCAACACTTGCTTGGGCGATATATATAGGGGATGCCTTCCGGGAGGTCTTTTAAGAGAAACTGGCCCCTATTTGGGCGTTACAGGTGTGGAGAAAACCCGGAAAACTCCACCTGGCCAGCCCGTCCGAGCAAGGCGCGAACCCACGACCGAACTCCCAGTGTTCAGGGTACGAAGAACAGCTTGGCCACTTGTGGGTCGCAAATTTATTTATAAAGCAGATAAAATATTTAGTGAATTAAATATTTTGATTTCTGTTATGATATTTATGGAAATTAATTTGTAATATAAGAATATATTAAATGAACTCGCTTTAAATTTCCTTTTTTTAAAACTCTTTCCTCCATTTAGGTACTAAGAGAGTCATGTTTAGCAAGCTCATTATGGGTCTTTTTTTAGCAAGCCCTAGGTATTTCCTCAGCACTCGGCCATTCCATTGTGGGTCTGGCCGAACCCACAATGGTCTTGCTAAAAGAGGCCTTCTTAGTGCCCACAGGGCGGAGAGTTTTTTTAAAAAAAAAGAAAAAGAACTTGTCCGGGAAATTCCGGACATATACATTGAGAGATAATTTTTTATTTTCAAACGAATGATTCACTCATTCGTTAGTAATGTCACGCTGTACGATATAAACATTAATCATAATTAACACGATCATTATTCATATATAGCTTATTCATTATGATTAATTAATATGATAGTTATTAAAAGTTTTATCGTAACAAACCAGTTTCAAACATTTCCATATTAATCATTATTAAAATATCCAATTAATTTGTCATTTTATTTATATTATTTAATATTAAAAAGGATCATCCAGATAGCCTCGAGTGAAGAAATTCGAGTTCGAATTCCTCATAATTTAACATGCGAGTCGGGGTATCGCTTCTCCATCTCTCATTCATGTTACTCGGCCCCATTTTGGTCGGGCCTGCCCGTAATGGGCATAGTTTTCTACAATATATAACTTATGTTCTAATGCGATATTATTAAAAATAAATTACAGTAAAACCTGTTTATGTTGGACACCTTACGTGTCCAATTTAGACAGGTGCCCAAGTTATAGAGTGAGTAGATTTTATCCTGGAAGCGTGGAAATTAATCTAAATCTAATCTAAATTATATGTTCGAATTGTTTATTAACAATTAAATTACATAATTGTAACAAAGAAAATTATAAATTAATTTTTTGAGAATAATGCACACACACACACACACACACACACACACACACACATATTTTTTTAAAATATTAATTCTACTTTAAAAATGGATATGAAGTACCTATAGAATTTACTTATATTTGTGTTCATAATAGCTTATCATAATTCTGCAGGAGTAGGTTTGTTCTTCTACGGCATCATCTACCATCAACAGCGTAATACGTTTGTAAATTTTCTAAAAATAATTTTCCGAGCTGTTTTCGGATTTGCACAAGCCACTATTTCCCTCAACAAAAGTATGAGGTGGTCCTATCGTCCTATCGTACGGTAGGAGACACGACGCTAATTAAAAATAATTAGTGTTATTAAACACCCTATAAATACTTTAAAATAGTTTGTTTATTTGACTTCGCTGGTAACGTTCGTCGTCGATAAACGTTTTCGCCATTTTTCAATAATATCCCATGAGTCAGTGCGCAATGTGAACGCGTGGCGCAACGTGTTTTACTTCGATTTCAAACGTCAAACGTGTACTTCTGCTTGCCGTACAAGTTTAACGTTTGAACTTCGGCCTCAACCTCTCTAATATCTCCTGAACCAAGGGTCCGATTTTCCTGAAAATTTCTTGAAATACTCCTTGCAAAATTTCAGAAATTTTCGACAAAA